GTCCCCATCGACTCGTCACCACCACCACCACATATGTGTGCTCTTTGCCATATGACTTTGCAGTCCTGCCCTTTGACCTTGGGCTCAACCAAGGGTCTTGCTTCAGACAATGGGGTGGTATCAGACACAGCACAAACAAGGGTACATGCCATGTGTTTGTGCACCTAGGTGCACCCTCTTGCATTTCTGTCATTCCTCCAAAAAGAGCTTCCCCCAGACCCCACCCCACCCCGCTTCAAGCTGAATCTCAGAATTAACTCAGATGGAAAGGAATCTGAGCAAGGAGTTCAGCCTACCTAGCAGTGGACCCACTCAACCCAGCCCCACTCAGCTCACCTGGCCTCCAGCCACCACAGCATGAAGCGCAGCCACCCATAACCTGCAGATCCTTAAGATTACATGTTGTTATTTTAAGCCACAGAGTCTAGGAGTGGTTTGTTACACAGCCTCACTCTGACAACAGCTAACCAATACAGGGGGTTCTTATGAGATGGGTAGTGTGTCCAAACCTGGGTGCTCTTGGGTCTAAGTAATTTATAGGGTCCTGACAGAAGCTTCACTCAAGAGTGAATGAATATCTACTGTGTAGGCCATGTGGAATCATGGCCAAGATTGTGGAGCACAGAGTCATCAATGAATCCTGGCTCCGAAACTTAGTACCTGGGTTATAGTGAAGCTGTAATTGGGCAGACTTCTTGACTCTACAAATTACTGTGTATTCGTTTATAAGAAAAGAATAATAATTATAATATGACTTGCCTCTCAAGGTGTTTTGAGAACTTAAAAAAAGAAAATTAAAAATAATAATAAATAGAAAAGTTAATTTTAAAAATAAACTAATAAAAAAAGAGAAAGTTGGGCGCCTGGGTGGCTCAGTCAGTTAAGCGTCTGCCTTCGGTTCAGGTCATGATCCCAGGGTCCTGGGATTGAGCCCCGCATCAGGCTCCCTGCTCGGCGGGAAGCCTGCTTCTCCCTCTCCCACTCCCCCTGCTGGTGTTCCCTCTCTCACTGTGTCTCTCTCTGTCAAATAAATAAATAAAGTCTTAAAAAAAAAAAAAAGAGAGAGAAAGTATACGGAAAGTACTTGACAGATACAGGAAGGATCTAATCGTTGGAAACCCCTGTTATTATTGTTATTAGTAGCATGATTATTACTATTCCTCCTTCTCTTTGTGAAATCACCTTTGTTTATATTAGCACACCCATCCCATTCTAAGACACGTGATAGAAGGTCTATAAAACTGTTTTCAATGACCAAATGATACAGAGATTAATCAAACACATATTAAGATACATAATTCTATATATTGTTGAAATAAAAATCCATCTTTATTAGAAAAGAAAATATGGGGCGCCTGGGTGGCTCAGTTGGTTAAGCAACTGCCTTCGGCTCAGGTCATGATCCTGGAGTCCCGGGATCGAGTCCCACATCGGGCTCCCTGCTCGGCAGGGAGTCTGCTTCTCCCTCTGATCCTCCCCCTCTCATGCTCTCTGTCTCCCATTCTCTCTCTCAGATAAATAAATAAAAAATATTTAAAAAAGAAAAGAAAAGAAAAGAAAATATGGCCCCTTTTCAGTAGGAATTGATATCCCAGCTCTGTCTCCACACCCCATGCCCTTGGCTTCCCTTTTCATATCCTTGGTACTTCTACACAAATGCGCATCTTCCTGTTTGGAGTAGTAATACAATGGTAAGATGGTTTGGCCTTGGACAGGAGCCTTGCTGGCCTGTTGCATGCTGCCACAAGCGGGCTATAATTTCTGCTCTGGGTCCAGGACATTGGCCCCGACTTACGTCTGCCCAACAAGTAAGGACAGACAAGGTCAGCATCGGATTCCCGATGGCCAGTGCCAGGCTGCCCTCCAACCTAAACAGGAACGACAGGGGCACTGGCAAAGTGTAAGAACGTACGGTGGTACAAATAAACACACTAGGGGAGGGGAGCATGGACCGAATAATTTGTGAAACCACTTCTAAGACTGCTGTCATATTACACTTCATTCAAGAAAGGGCTTCAGCTGGGAGAGAAAAACTCAATTCTTCTGGGGAAAAGATACTGAAGCTTGTGTTTTTCTCTGTGGGATCTCAGTTGGGACCATCAGCTTCAGAGAAATGAAGAGACACTCTGGCGGTGGTTCTCTAAACTTAAGCTACGTTAGAATCACCCGGAGGTTCATGAGACATCTGTGAAAGCAACTCACATGGAAGATGAAGACAAAGGAAACCAAAGGGAAAAGCAACGTGCAGCAATCAGAAACCATGCGAGGAGAGAAGGAGGGAAAAACTATCCAACACTATCCTCTGAGAGGCAAGAGAACGTTTCTGCTCCCATGAAACGTGAACAGGATGCTGTAAAAAAAAAAAAAAAGGAATATTCCAAAATCAAATCAACAAAAGTTCTTAGAAATTAAAAAATCAATAAAAAGGTCCAAAGACAGAGCTATGGAAATATTTTAGAAAAATAGAGCAAAATTGAGAGAGAATGAGAGAGAAAGGGGGATGGGAGAGGGCTTTAAAAAAAAAAGCAAGAAAGAAAAAATATATATATATTTTTTCAAAATAGACTTTTTTTTTAAAGATTTTATTTATTTATTCATAAGAGACAGACAGAGACAGAGAGGCAGGCTCCCCGCTGAGCAGGGAGCCCGATGCGGGACTCGATCCCAGGACCCCGGGATCACGACCTGAGCCGAAGGCAGACACTTAACAACTGAGCCACCCAGGCACCCAAAAATATATATATTTTTTTTAAGATTTTATTTATTTATTCATGAGAGACAGAGAGAGAGAGAGAAGCAGAGGGAGAAGCAGGCTCCCAAGGAGCAGGGAGCCCGATGTGGGACTCGATCCCAGGACCCTGGGATCATGACCTGAGCGGAAGGCAAACGCTTAACCGTCTGAGCCGCCCAGGTGCCCGAAAAAATATTTTTAAAGAGAGGACATTTCTCCAGGTGAGTTGAAAACTTATGTCCATACAAAAACCTGCACACAGATGTCTATAGTTGCTTTATTCATAATGGCCAAATCTTGGAAACAAACAAGATGTCCTTCGATATGTAAATGGATCGTCGATAAACTGTGATAAATAATATTCCAGACAATGGAATAGTATTCAGCACTAAAAAGAAATGGGCTATTGGGGCGCCTGGGTGGCTCAGTCGGTTAAACATCCAATTCTTGGTTTAGGGCCAGGTAATGATCTCGGGGTCCTGAGGCGGAGCCCCATGTTGGGCTCTGCGATCAGCAGGGAGTCTGAGATTCTTTCCCCTCCTTCTCCCTCTGCCTCTCCTCCCCCACTCATGGGCGCACATGCTCTCTCTTTCTCTCTCAAATACATAAATAAAAAATCTTAAAAAAAAAAAAAGAGTGTCTTCTTCAGACGTGGTAATCTCTATTAATCTGCCCTCACACAGATAAATTTCCCAGATGATTTTCACTTAGGAAAGAAAGACTATAATTGTTTAAAAAAGAAACTTCCTTAAGCCTTAAACTGTTCATATTCTTTACCTAAATGTGAGAATCTGAGGAGATAAACCTAAACAGAGGAATTATATATCATAGCAAAATATTAGAAACAAAGAGCCAAAAACAGAGGTAAGGTTGCAACTGTGAACTGTCTTCATAGAATGGAATATTATGCAACTATTAAATACAAATTCATAAAAACGTTAAAAGTTATTGTGTAAATGAAAAAATAGCCAGACAGACAATATATCTACCATATAATCAAAATTACGTATAGAAAAAAGTAAACCACAGTTTCCATAGAAATTAATGAAAAAATGTGCCAAGATTTGCAAACACAGGTTGTCTTTGGGGTGAGAGATGGATGATTCTTCTTCCTTTTTTCTTTTCTACATTTTCCAAATGTTCTATAACGGGAATTTTTTTTTAATCCCTCAATTTTTAAAAGCATATTCTTTGTTATGTTTTCAAATCGAAACTAAATTAAGGGCTCTGCCTCAGCTAGGAGCCACAGATGTGTACGGCCAGGATCAATCTTCTCCAAGCCTCACGATGCCTTACACGGGTCCCACGTTCACCACAGCCAGCCCCCAATCTTCACAATCCAGATGGTTAAATATTTTTGCTGACTACTCAAAATGTGTCCCGGGAACCCTCAACATCAGCATCGCTGGACCGTGTGTCAGAAATGCAGACCCTTAGGCCTCTTCCCCAAGAAAGGGAAATAGAATCTGCCTTTTAACAAGATCCCCAGGGGCAAGGTTCTTTGAAATAAGAGACACTCCGATGGTTTGATTTGGATTGAAGCTAACTTGGAATGACCAACTTAAAACAAAAGGATCTCAGTTCCAACATTGGCTTTGGGGCATCAAGCATGTTTCTCTACCGGTCTATGCCTTAGTTTTCCTCATCTGGAAAATGGGGATGATAAACTCAGCCTGGTGTCTAGCAAGGGCAGAGATGGAAGCTGGGATGCAGTAAGCCATTATTAATAGGTCTAAATAAATGCTTTTTATCAGGCTGCGAGAGCTGGGACTCCTGGCACAGTGCGTGGACCACAGTAAGCCAGCGTGTGTTTAATAAACTGGCAAGCACTCAGGTGACATCTATCAATTTTTGACCTGGATTGTCCCATTCTTTTAGTATGTAACACTCAAAACTGCCAGTTTTCTCCCTTCCATCATTCAAAACGTGCCAGCTCCCATCTCGGCCAGACAGTGAGGGAGGTGGGGGAAGTTGAAGGTCACAGATAAGCTTACTGTAAATCACTCATACTAGAACTTCCTATGGCTACACACGGGCGCGGCTCAACCTCGCATCCTCTCTACCGCCCCCACCTTACTGTTACTCCGCCCACTGTTCTCCCTAAGCCACGCCCACGGCCCAGCCCCTTCCTCTGGCCCCACCCTTACCCAAGGCCCGTCCCCCCAGGCCCGTCGGCCTCCGCGTCCCTCCTCACACCTCCGCCCCGCCCCGGGGCTCGCGCCGGAGGCCCCGCCCCCGCCCCCGCCCCCGCCCCCGCCCGCGGCCGCGCCGCCCGGCTCGGCGTGCGTACGGCTCGCGGGGCCCTTCGGCGGCGTCCGCGCCTGGGCGGGCTGCGGAGGCGGGCTCGTGCGGGCGGCGGCGCGAGGGCCGCCCCAGCCCTGGGTCCCGGGGCCGCGCCCCCGCCCCCGCGAGGTAGGGCCCGAGGGGTGGGCGGGGGCCGGTCGCGAGGCCTCGGGAGAGGGGTGAGCGGGTGGGGGCCTGCGGGAGGCCGCGCTCGGCCCGAGTGGCTGCGCCCGGGAGCGGAGTGCGGGCCCCGAGCTAACGGTCACGGATGCTGCCGGCGCCGCGCGGCCCACGTGCGCCACGGCGCCCAGAGCTCCGGGCGCCCAGCACCGCGGCCGCCTCGCCGCCGAGGGCAGCCTGTCCGTTTCTCCGGTGCCCGACGCGGGGAGGCTGCCGGGTCGGGCCGCCGGGAAGACGCGGCGCGTGCGCCTCCTTGGAGACGGCGGGGCCCCCTGGGCGGACGGCGCCCTCGGGGTCCCCTGAAAGGCGGGGGGCGGGCGGGGACCGCGAGCCCCGGGTGGACGCCGCCTGTTTGTCTCTCAGTTAGAAATCGGCCTTGGACAAGATGGAAGGGGAGAAGCGGCCGGCGCCCTACGAGGGCCTCTTTGCCGACGGGCACCTGGTCCTCTGGACGCTGTGCTCGGTGCTGCTGCCCGTGTTCATCACCTTCTGGTGCAGCCTCCAGCGGTCGCGCCGCCAGCTGCACCGCAGGGACATCTTCCGCAAGAGCAAGCACGGTTGGCGCGACACGGACCTGTTCAGCCAGCCCACCTACTGCTGCGTGTGCGCGCAGCACATTCTGCTGGGCGCCTTCTGCGACTGCTGCGGGCTGCGCGTGGACGAGGGCTGCCTCAAGAAGGCCGACAAGCGCTTCCCGTGCAAGGAGATCATGCTCAAGAGTGACGGCAGGGCCCTGGACGCCATGCCCCACCACTGGATCCGGGGCAACGTGCCCCTGTGCAGCTCCTGTGTGGTCTGCAAGCAGCAGTGCGGCAGCCAGCCCAAGCTCTGCGATTACCGGTAAGGACTTCGTGCCCCAGAATGCGGCGTCGGCGTCAGGATTTCACGCAGTGGGCGGAGAGGCCTACCTTGATCTCGGCAAATGGCCTAAACTGCCCACTTCGAGGAAACAAGCTCATAAACGTCCCCGGAATTGGACAGGCAGGGCAGCTTTGCAGTAGTCATTTGCCCAGATGATACATCCCCAGCCCCCACTCCTCAGCCAGCCTGCCCTTTCGGGTAATGAAACTTGGCACTTAACTTGGATCCAGAGGTCTCTATGCAGACTTCATAGCCACGGTGTGTTGTATTTTAGCTTTTGTTCCTATTGATTATCTCCATTTTAAGCAGGGAGAATCCAAGTATGGACAAATTAGCTTTTCCCTAGACTCACCAAACTGATCCTTCTTCTTGGGGTATTATGAATGGGGAAATGAGTGAAAACGAGTGTCATTCCATGGCAGCGTCGGAAGCATCTTTTTCAAATCTAGATACCGGTGCTGTCCTGAAAGATAGCCCTTAGAGGGACACTACTTCTGCCAAATGGCCTTCCAGGACATGTAGCATCTCAGACAAGAGTCTTTGGTTAAGCCAAGAATATTTTAGCGGCTTCTGAATACACACACGGGACAACACGTTAATGTTCTTAAATACTGTCTGAAAATAGGGAAGACACTCTTTGCCTTTGTTAGAGGTTGGTAAGAAGGAAGGCTGCTTCCACAGATCATCTGCTCTCATTTTACAGTTGAAAGAACTTTACTCGGTGGTAAAATAGACCTCTGGATTTCTAGTAAAATAGACCTGGGATTTCTAACCCCCAGATTAGGATTAGGCACTCCTAGCCTTGGCTCAGCGTTAGGTCTGGACATTTTCATTGTCATGAGTTTAATTTCTGACAAGTGGAAAGGGCCCTAAAAGTGTTTAGGAGCTAGATTCGAAAGCTGACACTGGATGTCAAGTTACTTTTTTTTTTTTTAAGATTTTATTTATTTATTTGAGACAGAGAGAATGAGAAAGAGAGCACATGAGAGGGGGGAGGGTCCGAGGGAGAAGCAGACTCCCCGCCGAGCAGGGAGCCCGATGCGGGACTCGATCCTGGGACTCCAGGATCATGACCTGAGCCGAAGGCAGTCGCCCAACCAACTGAGCCACCCAGGCGCCCCGTCAAGTTACTTTTTAATTTTTGTCTTTATTTTTTATTTTACTTGAAAATCCCCCCCTTTTTTTTTTAACTTAGCATGAGCACTGTTAGGTCAACACCTATTTTTAAATCTTATTTTTAACAATTTTACACGTCAGCTTTAGACTTCAGAAAGATTTTCAAAAACGTATTTTAAACAACTACTGGGTTTTATAACCATTGATTTTTATTTGGTATCTTTCAAATTTAGATATTGTTCTTTTGGCATCTGGGAGAGCTAGGTTACCAGCATCTTTAAGTAAATTTCATAATTCTCTCTATAGGTAAGCTTTAGTTTTCAAAACCTAGGATTAGTTGGAAAGATGACATGACTTGCATCTTATTCCCTTCCCTTCTTTGTGTCTGTGCAGAATTAGATAAAAATGGCTTCCATAAATATCTCAACTGTGCTTCCCATACTCCTTAACGAATAATCCTAGTAAACCCTTTCAGATGCTCCCATCACTTACCCTGATGGTCTTTCAGTGTAAACTTCCAGTGCTTACCATGGTACCCTCTGGACCCCGCTTGCTCTTCCAGGGTTACCTTCTACCATCTGCATTAAACTTGATGCACCAGCAATCCCGAGCTGGCTGTGCCTTACTTCAAATATCAGGCTTTTTTGTTCTGCCCTTCTCTTTCTTTCTCAAGGCTTTCCTCCCCTGGCTAGTTTCTAGGCATCCTTAGAGACTCATCTCATGCCCTTTCCTCCAGGAACCCTTACCTGATCTTCTACTCACCCCCAGGTACCAATCTTTCCTTCTCGATGATGACATAACATCCTATATTTTAGTGGTTCTCAAAGTAGGTTTCCCGGACCAGCAGCATTAGCATCATTTGGAAACTTGTTAGAAATGCACCTTCTGGTGTTGCCAGATTTAGCAAACAAAATAAAACATTTGCAATATTTGGGGTAGACTTATACCAAAAAAACGGTTTATCTGAAATTGAAATTTAACCAAGCGTCTTCTATTTTCCTGGCAACCCTACTTTCACCCCAGACCCACTGAATCAGAAATTTGGCCTGGAGACCAGCAATCTTTGCTCTAGCAGGCCCTGCAGGTAATTCTAAAGTTGTAGGACCACTGCTATATTTATGTACCTTTTACAACATCAGCCTCTGTCCTTAATGAGTATCCTTCCCTTTGTGCACAGTGAACGTGATGATTTTTTCCTCACGAGCTTGTTCTTACCAGTTACTGAGCAGTCTTTTCCCAGCATGCTAGAACCCCTCAACCATGGTAGAAATTATCTCTGTATAATTTAGGAAGTGTTTACTATTCCCAGGAGAAAAGAGCACAGTGTCCTGAATGTTCCACAGTGTTCTGATTTATTTTAGCCAATAATGTTACGCAGGATTACTGTCTGCTATGACCTTCAGTAGGAATTAGATATTTCTGAAAAATAAACAAAAGAAATATCTATTCAGAACCTTTGAACACAAGCCACACTGTCCCTCTGGATTTTATCCAGCCCTGGCAAGGGCTCCTTCCATGTCTGTATCACAATCTAAGTACGAGACTTAAGGGAACTATAAAGACTCAGGTAATAACTAATTTTAAAGCCTGCAGCCCACTTCAGCTCTGCAGAATAAGTGACACAGACCCTTTAATTTATACTCATTCAGTCATTATTTAATTTTCACATCGCGAGCATCTATTTTGTGCCAGGCACTGTGCCAGATTCTACTTTCCCTATAAATTTTTTCTCTTCTGTGTGTATTCCCTCATCTACCCCCAATCACTAGAATGTGTTTCTGCACCTAGTATCTTAGGCCCCTTTCCTGGTCTTTTCTTCTTCCCACCTCTCTTCTGACTAAAATAGGGAATTTTGTTAAGAGTATTTGTTACATTTTTTAAATAAACCTTTCTTCCTCATAGTATTCCATCTCTTGTTAAGAAAACTTAAGGTGCCTTTTTATTGATAAGACCTTTTCTTCATTACATCCTATCCCTCCCCACCACACACACACACACACACATACACACACTGATTAATGAAACAAAGCTTCTGACTTTGAGTAGGTAATTACATTGGCCACTTTAGTCTCGGCTTTGATCTTTTTTTTTTTTTTTAAAGATTTTATTTATTTATTTGACAGAGAGAGACACAGCGAGAGAGGGGACACAAGCAGAGGGAGTGGGAGAGGGAGAAGCAGGCTTCCCACGGAGCAGGGAGCCCTATGTGGGGCTCGATCCCAGGACCCTGGGATCACAACCTGAGCCAAAGGCAGACCCTTAATGACTGAGCCACCCAGGCACCCCTCAGCTTTGATATTTCTATGGTCTCGTGGTATGTATTTATTTATTTCACTCATTATCTGAAACGGTGAAAGATACCAGATCATCTTCTAGAGCAGAGGTAGGCAAACTTTCTATAAAGAGCCAACACTAAGTATTTTAGGCTTTGCGGACACTTAACCCACTGTCCATCATAGTACAAAACCAGCCCTAGACAGTACATAAGTGAAAGGGGATAGCTGTGCTTCAGTAAAACTTTATTCACAAAATCAGGTGGCAGACGCATTCATAATTGGCCAACCCCTGTTGTCATGGGAATATCATACACGAACATCTCAACGTGACGGGTAGTTCTGCCGCCTCTTCCAGCAAACTAAAGAAGAGAGCCATCATCAACAGGTAGCTTTACGGAAAATATTAAGCACTGTTGCCAACAGTTTCTTTTTTCCCCTTGTAAAGCTTCTTTTTTTCTTTTTTAATTTTTTTTTAAGATTTTATTTATTTATTTGAGAGAGACAGAGAGAGTGACAGAGATAGTGAGAGAGAGCACAAACAGGGAGGAGAGGGAGAAGCAGACTCCCCGCTGAGCAGGGAGCTGACACGGGGCTCGATCCCAGGACCCCGGGATCAGAACCTGAGCCGAAGGCAGAAGCTTAACCAGCTGAGCCACCCAGGCGCCCCTGTAAAGCTTCTTTTTAAAAAAAATAAAGCAGGGGCGCCTGGGTGGCTCAGTTGGTTAAGCGACTGCCTTCGGCTCAGGTCATGATCCTGGAGTCCCGGGATCAAGTCCCACGTCGGGCTCCCTGCTCATCAGGGAGTCTGCTTCTCCCTCTGACCCTCCCCCACTCCTGCTCTTTCTATCTCATTCTCTCTCTCAAATAAATAAATAAAATCTTAAAAAATAATAATAAAAATAAAAATAAAGCAGTCATACTCTAGCACAAGAATGGCACATAGGGTGACGTTCTATGTCTTGATAAAGGTTTTAGTTACATGAAAATGTTCATTTGTCAAAACTCAGCAAATGTACTAATTTGTACATTTCATCACATGTAAATTTTACATCAAAAGAAAAAACCTATAAATAAATGATGAACTCTAGGTAATGATATGCCTGCTTGGTGAGGCATTTAGGAGGTGTCCTGATCTACACTTTACTTGAAATGCACCAAAAATTAGGTGGATTAATGGATGGATAGAAATGTAACAAAGTAATTACAGTAAGATATTAATGCTGAAATGTAGGTGGTGGGCTTATCTATGTTTACTGTAAGAAAAAAATTCTAATGCGAAACATTTTAAAAAGACTATCCATGTATTTTGGAAATACTTGTTGAAATAGTGAAAGGTAAAATCTCATAATGTCTGTAATACTTTCAAATGATTCAGGAATGTATGAGTTCATGAAAGAGATGAAGCAACTGTGGGAAAAAAATATTAAGAATCAGAGTAAAGGGTTGGCTTACGGTCATTTTGCTATACTTTTGACTTCTGTGTATGTTAAAATTTTCAAAGTAAATAAGCAATTAGTCAATGACATGATTGCTGAAACTAAAATATCAAGACATTATTAGTAATGTCTTATTTTCCCATCAGGTTTGAAGTCTAGATCAATTTAAACACTAATTCCAAAATACATAAAGAGACCAGTCCCACTTTTGAATATGGTATTTGTAAGGAAAAGTAGAATGTTGCATAGCTAGCAAGCCTTTGGTTCTACCTTTACAGAGCAAAGGCTGATAATAGGCATCGTTTTAGGTACAAGAATCTTCTGTGAAATTGATGAGAATGTCGTAAATGATAAAGGTGTCCCAAATCAGTAGGGATAGAAAAGATTATTTTATGAATTGTGCTAGGACAGGTACTCCTTGGGGGGAAAAGCAAGATCTTCATATCACACTATCTACCAAAATAAACACCAGATGGATTAAAGCAGGGGCGCTTAGTTCACAGATGGCTAAGATTCCAAGAAATCCGGATACTTTCGAGATTCTCAGTGGAACCTGTAGCCCCAGAAGCAGCACTGAATTAAAGACAGAGATATGAAAACTGAATTGAGGGGATGGGGAGCCAGGGAGATAAGCGAGTGTCTAGTTTGGAAATGGTAAAGGACTTCAGAGCATAAAAGCATTTAAATAAATCACAAAGGGAAATAGAGATCTATCAAAAAATAAACTGATGTACATGAAACAAGTTTGCAGTAAACGTGACAGAAAAGAGGTTGATATCCTACATCAATAAAAAGTGCATGAAATTATTAAAAGCTAGTACAAGATGGGCGCCTGGGTGGCCCAGTCGTTAAGCGTCTGCCTTCCACTCGGGTCATGATCCCAGGGTCCTGGGATCGAGCCCCGCATCGGGCTCCCTGCTCTGCGGGAAGCTTGCTTCTCCCTCTCCCACACCCCCTGCTTGTGTTCCCTCTGTTGCTGTCTCTCTCTCTCTCTCTCTGTCAAAATAAATAAATAAAATCTTTTAAAAAATAAAAAACTTAATGGCATAGAACAACATTCATGAGAACATGGAAAGAAAAGTACTGTCCGGATATATATATACACACATCATATCCGTCCTGAAAAACAAGCATATATGCACAGTAAAACTGAGAAGTACATCAAAAAGTTAAGAGGAACTGTCTCTGGATGATTTTTATTTTCTGTCTTTCTGATACACTGATATTATTTAAAATATAATTTTAAAAGTTTATAAAGGGAGTTCATGAATATATTCTAGTTTTTAGAAACTCAAGCAGTACAGCAATACGGAAGAATATAGAGTAAAAGGGGAGCATTCTTCTCATCCCTCAGTCCCACTTTTCTTCCCAGAGGACAGCAATGTGAAATAATTCAGGGGGACCCTTTCAGGTTATTCTCAGTAACAGTACCCTATTTGAAAGTGACTGGCACACACAGTAGGTGGGGTTGGTGGACTTGGGCTGCAGTAAGCAATCTCTTGTGGTTTCTCAGGCTTAGTTTGAAAGTGAGTACTAACAAAACATATGCAAGTTGTTTTACAGTTTTCTTTCTAACAGATCCTGCAGATAACACTTCTTTCAGCAGTAAATAGGACTCCTGAGTAAATAGCAGTAATCACTTGGCAAATCTGAACATCCATCGGAAAAAAACAACCTTAAAATAGAAGTCCCAAAGGCTTGACCTTGGGCGAAAGACTTTTATCCTCTTTTTTTTTTTTTTTAATTCATTTAATTATAACCATTATTTTCTGTGGGCCTGCTTTTGTACGGTCAGCTCTGCCTTGTCTGTAAGTGGATTAAATTCTTAGCAGATTAATAATGGAAACCTAGGACCTTTTCCAGCGCTATTCTCTGCTTGTTCCTCACACCCATTCTGAGAGGCAAATCTGAATGTAAATGTCTTTTGTCTGTATTTCACATGCAAATGTATAGACTAGTTTTGTGTTAACTGCCAACAAGAAATTGACTATTGTGCTATATTTACTAGTGTTCACAGATGGTCATAAGTTAAGAGGTTTTCAAACTGGACAAACTAGACTGAGGAACACTCCAAAGCCCAGGCCAGGGGGCATTTAATTAAGATTCAGAACCACTGTTCTAGACCCACTTTTGTTCATGTAGATTATGTCTACTGGCATTTACCATGTTACACATTAAAACTGAGAAACTATTTAAATATTCATTTTTTAAGTAATGTAACAAAATATTTTAATGAAAATTCAGTGAGAAGAGCGACACTGTTTTTACTTTTTTGGTACACTTTTTGGTTTAGAGGCCACTTAGATTCTCCTGTCTGCTTCTGCATTGGGTCTGTACACTCTTGAGAGAAGGAAGATAGAATAACAGCTTGGTATTATTATTAAAGGGATTTTTTTTTTTTAGTAGGCTCCACGTCCAGCGCAGAGCCCAATGTGGGACTTGAACTCATGACCCCGAGGTCAAGACCTGAGCTAAGATCAAGAGTCGGACACCTTGGGACACTTGGGTGGCTCAGTCAGTTAAGCATCTGCCTTTGGCTCAGGTCATGATCTCAGGGTCCTGGGATCAAGCTCCCCATTGGGTTCCCTGCTCAGCAGAGAGTCGGGAATCTGCTTCTCCCTCTGCCTCTATCGCTCCCCCTGCTTGTGCACGCACTCTCGCGCTCTCTCTCTCTCTGACAAATAAATAAAATCTTAAAAAAAAAAAAAGAAGGGACATTTAACTGACTCAGCCATCGAGGCGCCCCTTATTATTAAAGTGATTTTGACCTCAGAGTCGTCCTGAAAGGATTTTGGGGGGCCCCAGACCACACTTTAAAAACCACTATTAGATTACACTGCCAAGTATGTTCAAACTTGATTGCCCATTTTCACTATGTAGAGAGTTATAAATCTTTTATTTGCTTGATTTTATGTCTAATAGTGATGAGATTACTATTAATTTTTTTGACAGAATGATCGGTTTACACATCATTAAAATTATGGTTTAAAATTAGTTATTGTCTTTGTTTCTTCCTTCCCTCAGGTGCATTTGGTGTCAGAAAACAGTACACGATGAGTGCATGAAAAATAGCTTGAAGAATGAAAAATGTGATTTTGGAGAATTCAGAAACCTCATCATCCCCCCAAGTTATTTGACTTCTATTAATCAGATGCGTAAAGACAAAAAAACGGATTATGCAGTGGTAATCAGAGTTCATTTTTCCTTATGTAATTGATTTTCATAAAGCCGCTGAAATCCCGAGTGTGCAACAGGTACAGAGTGCAGAGGGAAGAATCCTTATAGCGGGCCAGAGAGCCCTGCCCCATGTTCAGGGAGGTGCCTCAGAGTTTGGCTCTAGAGTCCTTTCATGTCTAAAGGGAAATTGGAAATGTTCTCTTACTGGTTTCTCAGTCACTGCCTGCATCTGAGTCACTTGGGGAGCTTTTTGAGAATGCAGATTCCTGAGTGCGCCTCCCTCACCAGGTTTGATTTAGTGGGCCTAGGACAGGTCCCAGGAATCTCTATTCCTTTAAGGTCCTCAGCTTTGAAATTCATTATTACTATCCATGAAAAGAAAACATGGATTTTCCTCACACATTGTTCTAACAGAATTTTTCTACTTAGAACTTTATGTAGGCTGCCTAGAGATAAGTTTACTTTACACATTAGGTGTTCCTTACAAATAATTTGAACATTAAAGCTGTCAGTGACGCTTTGCAGTATGTATGTGTATGGAAACTGATAGAAATATCTCTCTCAGTCTGTATGTAGTTCTTAAGGGATAACTATAAAAATTTGCATTTATTTCCTACTTGAATATGCCAAAATAATGGAACTATTTTTTCTAAAGATTTTATTTATTTGAGAGAACACACGAGCAAGTGGAGGGGCAGAGGCAAAGGGAGAGGACGAAGGAGACTCCCCGCTGAACAGGGACCCTGGGATCATGACCTGAGCTGAAGGCAGGCGCTTAACCGACTGAACCACCCAGGTGCCCCAATTAAACTATTTTATTTCAAAATTAAATTATGTGTCTTTTCCAGTTACGATTTTATATCTTAAATGTCATCTTTATCGGTATTCCTGCCAAAGGAAAAGGCATTTTAAAATTTAAAAACATTGGGGCATCTGGGTGACTCAGTCAGTTGAGTGTCTGAGTCTTGATTTTGGCTTAGGTCGTGATCTCAGGGTCCTGAGATCGAGCCCAGGCTCCTCACTCAGCATGGAGTCTGCTTGTCCCTCTCCCTCTGCCCTGCCCCAGCTCACGCATGCTCATTCTCTCTCTAAAATAAATAAAAATCTTAAAAAAAATTTTAATATTATGATACATATTTTTTAAACATACAATCCCCTAATGTATCTAAATTCAGTCTGAGATCCTGAGGGATGAGAATCGCTATGTAAGACTGTGGAACATCCCCATTCATGTTTACATCCACAAGGAGAAGGGGAGAAGAAAGAAATGGAAAGGTTAGAGGAACATGAATTTCATTTGACTTTGGCCTTTGTGCAAATCTGGATTCTTGAATCTAATTCTGAGTACCTGGTTTTTAATTTTTTTTTTTAATTTAAAAAAAAAAAACAACTTGCAAACTAAAATACATTAGAATACATCCAGAGAAGGACAGTCAAGGTAAGAGCAGAGAAAATCTGTGTCCATTCTGTGAACAGTTGAAAGAATCTAAAATGGATCACCTAGGAGACAAGACTGATAAAAGATCTAATGCTTCAGGTGTTTGAGCACAAGTTCAGTGGAAGAACAAATAAAATTATTTCTTGTAGCTTTAGGAAGCAAAATTAGAACGATGAAAGTTATTGAAAGACAGATTTTTAACTCTGTTTAAGTCAAAACTTGCTAACAATTTGAGTTAGTAGTGGAATGGGCTGCCTTGTTAGTTCCTTCCTCCATGAGTATCCAGGCATCACCAGGTGACTTATCTAGAATAACGGAGAAGAGAATTAGTACAGTAAGTGCGAGTTAAATTATTCATCTGAGTTCACTTTCCATTCCTAGAATTCTTTGATTTATATATTGTATTCATTGTACTGAGATAGTTCTTCTCCCAGCAAATTTACAGCACTATTGTTACTGAGAAATGAACATTTTATTGCTCGCCATCTTTGAGGTATTAAACCCTTTCCACTGGCATTAATTTTTTTAGCTAGGCTCTAAGCTGGGAAAGCAGTGGACCCCGTTAATAATCCTGGCCAACTCTCGGAGTGGGACGAACATGGGAGAAGGGCTGCTGGGAGAATTTCGGATTCTCCTAAACCCAGTCCAGGTAACTAAAGAGAAAATTTCCTTCTGTGTTAATCTTGTCATGTTTAGCTTTTCATTTTCCATCGTTGTAATGGTGGTTAATGCTTTAAAACAGTCATCACTCAATTATAGAAAGAATTTTAAAAGTATCAAGCCATTCAAATACATGGAGAAAGAGGTGCTTTCATGGTGGGGATGTAAAATGGTGTAGCCACTTTAGAAAACAGTGCAGCAGTTTCTTGAAAAGTTGAACATAAATTCACCATACCACCTACCAATCCCATTTCTAGCAACCGACCCAAGGGAAATGGAAGCATGTGTCCCGCAAACGTTCATAGCAGCGATATCCATAATAGCCAAAAAGTGGAGACAACCCAGCTGTCCATCAGCCGGCAAATTGATAAAACCAAATTTGTTCCCACCCAAGGGAATGTAACTCCATGAGAAGCAGGGACGAAGTACTCATGCGTACATGTTACCAAGGGTGAGCCTCAAAAACATGCTGAGTGAAGGAGGCCAGGTGCAAGGGCCCAGAGAGAATGGCTCCACTTACAGGGCTTGTCCGGAAAAGGCAGGTGCACAGAGATAGGAGACGAGCGGCCGCCCAAGGCCAGGGCTATAGATGGGGAGTGACTGCACCCAGACCCTGAGGGTTCTTCTCAGAGCAATGATAATGTTCTAACCTGGATGGTGGTGGTGGTTGCACAACTCGATAAACGTACTAAAAATCATTTAATTCACTTTAAGTGAGCATTTTGTTACATGCGCATTATACCTCAATTTAAAAAATAAGAATTAAAGGATCACACCATTGAGTTTACATGGTAGTAGCTTGTACTTTGAAAAACATTAATAACCCATGCAACGATCAGAAATGCAGTAATTTTTTTCCTTCCAATTTGTATTTTTCCCCTTCAACATTGTACAACTTAAGGAAACTATAAAAATGATAAAAACAAAAGAAAATCACCTGCAGTTTCCCCACATGAATACATCTGTTGTTTTCATTTGTCCATGTTCTTTCCATGAATTGTCTGTGCATCTCCCTATTAACATTATAGTAACAATAATTTAGATTTAAAATTTGTATTGTTTTAATTACTTAATATTTGTCCATGGTGTGATATAGTCTTCATAATTAGACATGTAATGATGAAGATAATTAATTGAATGGATGTATCATGTTCATCCAGTCTCCTGCTGTTGGAGGTTGAGTTTGTCTCTAAGATTATACAACTGTAAATAATGCCACACTGAATACTTTTATAAACAGGCATTTTTGGTTTTTGAAATATTTTCTTAGATCATTTACAAAATTACAGATATCAAGGATCCTTGCATCTTTCTGTCATTTTATGCATATAGCAAAACTTTTCCAGAAACGTGCTCTGACGTGCACTAGTAATGGATGTGAAGAATCCAGGATAAAGTATGAAGTACTGGTTAAAGATAAACTTAGCACATTCTGGTTTCTTGTGAACAGGAAGGAGGCAGTGTTGTATCATGGACACACCATAGGATTGAATCTATATGTCAGCACGTAATTATTGGGGAATCACGGGCAAGTTATTCAACTTTCCTGCGCCTCAGCTTCCTGGTCAACAGAATGAGGCTCACTCATCGTTAAGTAGGGTCAGTGTCGGGATGTGCCGCAAGGAACATCAAGAATCTGGCATATTGTTAGACACATCGTAGCCAGGACTGTTCTTCAACCATATCCGTACTCATCTGGAGGGACAGCATCCTCACAAATGGAGGATGGTGTTGGATAAAAATAATTTTTCCTTTTCTTTCATTTCTAGGTTTTTGATGTAACTAAAACTCCCCCCATCAAAGCCCTGCAGCTTTGTACTCTTCTTCCCTATCGCTCAGCCCGAGTGCTTGTCTGTGGAGGGGACGGCACTGTGGGCTGGGTCCTGGATGCGGTGGATGAAATGAAGATTAAGGTATCCGTCTGCAAGACCTATGTGCCTTTCACAGCAGTAGCTCAGCCGCTCCGAGACCGCGAGGCGCTCTTCGGGTTCTGTTTTGTATGATGCCGAGGAATGTTAGAAGACGTTGGCAATTTTGAATTTCGTGACTAAGCAGTTCTATAACCTTCAGCAAAACAACAGACAGTTGTTACGTTGTGTCTTTCTTGCTTCGGTCTGTGAGTTTTTACCAAATACTATGAGCCTACAAGTGGTCTGAAGAGAAAAATCTAACCTGTACCTCCCGTTTTCTAGGGACAAGAAAAGTACATTCCCCAGGTCGCGGTCTTGCCTCTGGGAACAGGCAACGATCTGTCCAACACCTTGGGCTGGGGCACGGGGTACGCCGGGGAGGTCCCGGTCGCGCAGGTCTTGAGAAACGTGATGGAGGCGGATGCGATTAAACTGGACAGGTGAGCTGTGCTTCCCCCAAAAGGTGGACTTCTGGAGCTTCGGGGATATCGTTTGGTTTAAGAATGAAGACTTACGGGGCGCCTGGGTGGCTCAGTTGGTTAAGTGACTGCCCTCGGCTCAGGTCATGATCCTGGAGTCCCGGGATCGAGTCCCGCATCGGGCTCCCTGCTCGGCGGGGAGTCTGCTTCTCCCTCTGACCCTCACCCCTCTCATTCTCCCTCTCTGTAATTCTCTCTCAAAAATAAATTTAAAAAATTAAAAAAAAAAAAGAATGCAGACTTACGTAGCTCCAGTGTAATTGAAACATAAGACTGTGTTAGCTGCACTCATCCACAGGTGCTGGGCATTTCTTTTGTTGCTGCCTATTGTGTTGTCATAGAAGGACTGGAGTCACGTGAGGCTGAGGACTTACCTCGTAATTTGTGTCGTTGCTTTGATGTGCTCATTTCTTCAAATGCTGTTTTCATCATTTCCAGGCATCCAGAGTTGACTGGTAATAATTATAGTTAACTGGCGGTTAATTTGGTAATAACTACCTTTTTTTTTTTAATTTCTGTTTTTTAGGTGGAAGGTTCAAGTAACAAGTAAAGGGTACTACAACTTAAGAAAGCCCAAGGTATGTGTCTGGGGCCTCCGCTGCAACGGTTTCCGCAGCCGTGAGGCAGTGGCCCCTGTATGGACGTGGCACGGTGCTGGGGTGCAGAGCCGTGGTGCTCACTGCCGCCGGGGGCCGCTCGCGGAGCAGAAGAGAAACCCACATGCTCAGCCCCCACGTCGGACTCAAAAGAGGGCCATGGGGGAAAAAACAGCAAGGGCACTCAGTGCCTCCCCAGCAGATCAGGCAGGAGAGATTTCAGGGGAAGTGACTTGTGAGGCGGTCCTTACAAGGTAAACACAATTTAGAGCAACAGGAAAAGGAACAGAAGACTCTCCAGGCAGAGGAAGTAGATCCTGGAGGATGCAAATGCTGGGTAGCAACTACTGCGGAGAGAGCAGCTCTGTATTTTCTAGCAGATACTCTGGGGATGGAGCGAAAATAGCCTGGAAACTTGCACGAGGGCAGAACAAGGGGCCTCTCAGCAGGAAATCGGAAGACATTCTAGAGACGGAATTAAGGGAGACCTGGCAGCTGATCGGTACTAGGGGAGGAGAGAAGATACTCATTATACCGCATTTCTTTTTTTTTTTTTTTTTTTTTTTTTTTTCACATGTATGTATAAATGTCAATTTTTTTTTTTCTTTTTTTTTTTTTTAATTTTTTTATTCTTATGTTAATCCCCTTACATTACAACATTAGTTTTAGATGAAGTGTTCCATGATTCATTGTTTGTGCACAACACCCAGTGCTCCATGCAGAATGTGCCCTCCTAAATACCCACCACCAGGCTAACCCATCCTCCCACCCCCCTCCCCTCTAGAACCCTGTTTGTTTTTCAGAGTCCATCGTCTCTCATGGTTCGTCTACCCCTCCGATTTCCCCCGCTTCATTCTTCCCCTCCCGCTACCTTCTTCTTCTTCTTCTTTTTTTTTTTTTCTTAACATATATTGCATTATTTGTTTCAGAGGTACAGATCTGAGATTCAACAGTCTTGCACAATTCACAGCGCTTACCAGAGCACATACACTCCCCAGTGTCTATCACCCAGTCCCCCCATCCCTCCCACCCCACCCCCCACTCCAACAACACTCAGTTTGTTTCCTGCGATTAAGAATTCCTCATATCAGTGAGATCATATGATACATGTCTTTCTCTGTTTGACTTATTTCACTCAACATAATACCCTCCAGTTCCATCCACGTCGTTGCAAATGGCAAGATCTCATTCCTTTTGATGGCTGCATAATATTCCATTGTATATATATACCACATCTTCTTTATCCATTCATCTGTCGATGGACATCTTGGCTCTTTCCACAGTTTGGCTATTGTGGACATTGCTGCTATAAACATCGGTATACCGCATTTCTGGTTGTTACGGCTGGATGTATGGAAATGACATTAACCAAGATACGAAAAAGAGTTTCAAGTTTGAGTAAGAGGAAAAGGAGTTAGATTTGGGGCCCCTTAACCTCGAGGCTGTGGCACATTGGACAGGAGTTGGAGATGCAGGCTTAGTGCTCAGGAGCAAGACAGAGCTGGAGATGGAGACGGGTCCATGCGGGGTGGGAAATAGATGAAGTGGGGACCCTGCAAGTTGCCATGACAGTAAAAAGCACATGTGATGGGAACACAGGCGGGGAGAGCCTGGATGCAAAGTAGAGCCGGGCTGGACGGTAAGATCTGATGCGCGTAGCTTATTAACCAGAACAGCAAAGGGAAATTCATATGGATTGTTATCGGCCTTTGAACTGAAGCTTTAGTTCTAGAAACTTCACTGGATAGTATCAGCTCTAAGTGAAAAGTAAATGCAGAAAGTATAAAATTTTCACAAAGAACATAAAGACGAAGATTTACATATTTAACATATGTCACAGGCTTAGACTAAGCATAATCTGTCACTTCCTCTTACCCCCTCCCACAGGAATTCACAATGAACAACTATTTTTCCATTGGACCTGATGCTCTCATGGCTCTCCATTTTCATGCTCACCGTGAGAAGGCGCCATCTCTGTTTTCTAGCAGAATTCTTAATAAGGTGTGTTGGATAAAATAACATTGCCTGCTTATCACCGAAGGTACAGTAAAAATCAATAGTTTAATTCTATCTAGCATCCTTTCAAGTAGATTCAGCTAGAACTTACTTATGGAAACATTTACCTGTTCTGTTTTTGTGTAAGACTGTCAAATTAGATCCTTAAATGTATTTTATCAAAGTATTTTATAATTCTGACACACTTTTTATAATTCAGAGAACGTTTTACAGCACATTTTGTTTAGGTAGCAACTAGATGGAAAGATACATGATCGCTTATCTTATTTAAATGGCAACTAAAACTGGAAAGAAATTTTAGGCAGGAGAAAGTTTTGGTGAAATCATAGTAGAAAAAGAGATTCCTTTAGCTTCAAAAAACTGCAAAATGCAGATGAAGTAAGAGAAGGAGCAATTTGTTAACCACAGCTTTTAACTATGATCATCACTCTGATTTCTAGTACAAGTGATTTCCTTTGGTGGAAGTTTGATTTTGGAATTTTTTTTTTCAAAGATTTTATTTATTCATTTGAGAGAGAGACAGAGCACAAGCAGGAGGAGAATCAGAGGGAGGAGGGAGAAGCAGGCTTCCCACTGAGCTGGGAGCCGAACATGCAGCTCGATTGCAGGACCTGGAGATCATGACCTGAGCCGAAGGCAGACGCTTAACCATCTGAACCACCCAGACGCCCCTGGAATTTTTTTTTTTTTTAATGACTTTTGGTGATTGAGCAACAGGATGTGAAAATTAAATGCAAAAAGTTTTCCTCCTGGTTTTGTTTCACAGATATTTCAAATTAACAGAGTCTCCTCTTATTCATATAGTTACTAAGGCAGTAAGTGTTGCTGTTTGTATGATTAGTAATTCACATCTCAGTGCTTTTATCAACCTTTCTATATTCAAAAGTGATTATAAAATGTTCACTAGATTGATCTGTATTCCTTTCAGTAAGTAATCTGAAGTATTAGGAAAAGATAGAATTTTCTAATTTTAATATAGTATTTCTTTATAAAATGCAGCTTTTTGGATAAACTGGGAGAAAACACCATTTAGGCACGAACTACACCTATTTTACATTCCCTGTGAAAAATGGGCTAATTCAGCTCAAAAGTAACGGTGCCCATTCTTCCCATGAGAATCGGGCCCACTCTAAGGAAACATGGCTCAGCGGTCGTGTCAGGAAACTTTGCTACAGTGTCTTTGTCTTGCTTACAGAGTTTGTTAGGTTGCTTTAATATCCCCTTTTCTATCCATTTCTCACAGGCTGTTTACTTATTCTATGGAACCAAAGACTGTCTAGTGCAAGAATGTAAAGATTTGAATAAAAAAGTTGAGGTAAGCTTTTAAAGTTTTAGGTGATTATAAACTTTTTTAACAAAAATGCTGAATTTTCTGTTAACATATTTTGCTAACATACATGGAGTATTTATTGTGTGCCAGGCACTTTATTAAGTGCTTTGTACACATTATTCCCCTAAATGGTCACCACAACCGTATGAGGCAGGTACCATTATATTCCCATTATGCAGAGGAGAAAACTGTGGAATTAAGTAATTTGCCCAAATTCACACAGTCCCCAAATACACATAGAACCAGGATTCGAACCCAGGTTTATCCACCTCCAGTCAGTTGAACTGATGCTGAAGAGCTTCCATTTGTACTTGATGGCGCAGGCGAAGCAGTCTCACGCAGCGCCTGACTCGTCGGGGACTCTAGGGGAAGTGTAAACGCACGGTGTAATTTATACTATGGCTGAGGTGTCTGTCTTATATACTAAAGCAGAGTAAAGATGTATGAGCAGTAAAAGTAGGATATTAACGAGGGCTTATTGCTACAGTATCCGATATGGCAAAGTCTTGTATATATTCCTTGCTTGCTTCCAGAAAGAATCTAATGGGTGACCACACTGACAAAGACATTAATACAGAGAAACCTAGAACTAGTAAAGTAAGTCAAAGGGGAAGAGTCAGGCAGATAGCTTGGGAAAAAAGAGAACAAGGAGCAGGGGACGAGAGGAGCCTGATGATACGTAGGCCAGGGCGGGAAGAGGCCATCAGGCTGACACTGAGCTCACAGACTCTGCAGCTGAGGCACGGGACGAATGGCAAGGTTTGCCATAAAAACAGTTCCCTTCCGCTTTATCATATTTCCTTTGTCCTGGACTCTGATAGCATCGGTAGAGTGAAGCAGACATGGTAACGCTTTATTTTTGTGTGTGTCTGATATTTTATTTATACAAATAGTATTTGTGAAGCCACCTACCAAAGGCCAGGCACTGTCCTAGGGACTGGGGGTACCGTGGTACATCCCTGGCTCTCCCTGAGTGTACGGTGTAGAGTGAAGGAAGACATCTAAGCCACATGGCAGTATGAGGGGTGACATGAGAAGGAAGGTATTCGGTCTGATGAGAATAAGAGCGACTGTCTAGGGAAAGTGACTGAAACCAGTCTCTCTGGAAGAAGTGCAAAAGGAGGTGAAAATTGTTCAAGGCTGGGCAACCCTCTTGGGTCCCCTCTCTGAGAGCTTTTTACTCTGTCATTCAATAAGCTTTACTATCGCTCAGTAAACCTTGCTTTGCTGCCCCATCCCCAAAGAAGAAAATTGTTCTCAGCTAAGAAGAGCACGTGCAGACATCCAGAAGTAAGAGAGAACATGGTGTATTTGCGTGAGTTCAAGCTGGAGGACGGCTTGCGGGAGGGAAAGTGGCGAGAGCTGAGGCCAAATCTCAGAAGGGCCATGTTGGCCTTTTAAAGAACTTGGATTTCATCCCAAGCATGAGTCAAGCCCTGAAGGGCTGTCATCAGGGGATGGCATGTTTGCATTTTGTAAGCGCCCGTCGCACCGCTCTGAGAGAGATGAGGGCAGACAGAGCCCGTAGGAACACATTAGGGGAGAGCTGAGGGTGTTCTGGACTCGGAGTGATGGAAACGGTAGGTTCTTGGAAGTGGAGGGTAAAGGCGAAGAAGGCAAAGATGACCCCCAGCTTCCTGGTGTAGGCACCTGGGGCCGGGGGTGCTCTTCCCTGGGAAGTCGGTGGTAGGGGCCGCAGAGAAGATGCTCCACGTTAGCTCAGTGCCGCGCGTAGGAGCTTCAGGGCCTGTGGTCAGTGGGTCACACGGGTCTGGCCCGGGTCCTCTCCCGGACCAGCAGGCTGGAGCTGTCAGCACTGAGGTGGCAGTTACGGCAGTTAATGACATGGCACTGGCTGAGCTTTTCCTCCGGAGTCTGCAGCCTGAGGAGGGCGAGGAGCCCAGGAGGAGCTAGTGTGAGGCAGGGCTGGGGCTCTCGGTAGTGCTGAGGACGAGTTCCCAGGGAAGGAGAGTCCGGCTGCCAGAAACCAAGGAAGGGGTAGTTCTGGAAGAGTGTCGGGTGCTTCCGGGACAGCACGTTAGATAAGGCTGGAAAAGGATACTGAGACCTAACAAAAACTGTGCCATTTTACCTTGGTAAGAAAGAATGCTGTAATTAACCCAGTAAGCACTGAAGAGGAAGGCAGAGTCGTTGGGGGGGCGCTGGGTAGGCCGTAGTCTCTTACCCGCGCGGATGGAAATGGCCGTGAATCCTGAGCGGCTGTGCCCCGTGGTAACGAACCGCTCGGATTTCTTTAAAGCTAGAGCTGGACGGCGAGCGAGTCGAACTGCCCAACCTGGAAGGCATCATAGTTCTGAACATCGGCTACTGGGGCGGCGGCTGCAGACTGTGGGAAGGGATGGGAGACGAGACGTACCCTCTCGCCAGGTGGGTGCACGGGTGGCCGCTGTGGGGTGCCGTGTTTGCTTTAAAGCAGCTCGTCCCGTGCTCTCTGTAGGCTCTTCGTATTTTCTCTAAAGGTTTTTCTGGTTTGCCTACCTCATTAATAGGAATATTTAACCAGTTGGTTGTCCACCTCCGTGAAAACGCAGTTGTCCTCACGGGGCTGATTCTCCGCCATTGCCTCACGTAGTCCGTGTTTCCTCTGCCCACCCGCAGGCATGATGACGGTGTGCTGGAGGTCGTCGGCGTGTACGGCTCTTTCCACTGTGCTCAGATCCAAGTGAAACTGGCAAACCCCTTTCGAATAGGACAGGCACACACCGTGCGGGTAGGTGGCATGTTGCTCTGTGCTTCATAGGCGCGGAGACTACTTGTCCGAGTCCGTTTCTGTTTTTTTTTTTTTTAAGATTTTATTTATTTGACAGAGAGAGACACAGCGAGAGAGGGAACACAAGCAGGGGGAGTGGGAGAGGGAGAAGCAGGCTTCCCGCCGAGCAGGGAGCCCGATGCGGGGCTCGATCCCAGGACCCTGGGATCATGACCTGAGCCGAAGGCAGACGCTTAACCGACTGAGCCACCCAGGCGCCCCTTCCGAAGGCGTCCGTTTCTAAGCCACTGCTCCCTAGAAAAAGACCTGCCCACTACAGCTTCCCTAGCACAGTGCTTACAGTCTCACTGCTGCTCAGCGTCCGCCAAGGCTTGGGCGTGATGGGGAGGGGACAGGACGTATGGGAGAAGCAGAGCTTTCCGTGGGAAAGGATCCCTTAAACAGTTGATGAGTAAAGGTGTGTTCAGATTAGTTCTCTGAGAACGAAGTGCAAAGACTTGTCCCTAAGAGGGGTTAAGGGACTGTGGATGATAGTACTAAGGAAGACCTTTCTGAACTTCAGGGGACTGACTTTCCTCTCATTATTTGTTCCCTAATACCAGCTGATTTTGAAGTGCTCCATGATGCCAATGCAGGTGGATGGGGAGCCGTGGGCCCAGGGGCCCTGCACTGTCACCATAACTCACAAGACACACGCACTGATGTTGTATTTCTCTGGAGAACAGACGGATGAGGACATCTCCAGTACTTCAGATCAAGAGGACTTAAAGGAAACCGAGTTGACGGATGAGGAAATGCAAGTTTAGAGGAGAATCCTCACACACACGTAGATACATGGTCATCCAAAAGTTAGAAATTCCCTATCAACTATTTAGTCTTAATTTCACCAGTAGTGTAATGGGGATACGTTTATGTAAATAGCATTCCAGAAACAGCCAAATTTCCAGTTATTTACAGACACCTGTTCCTTTTTCAGCAAAACACCCCAGTCGTATTGAACTAACTTTAAAAAGTCACAGAACGTTAATTACTCAAAGGTGAGATTTCTCGGGGCTTTTTGTTTGAGAGTAGGACTCGCTCTGAGCCATGCGCCCTCATTCCTTATTCCCGAATACACACGTGATGGACACACTACACGTCCAGCAAGATGTAGGTGGAAAAATCGTTGCCATCTTAATTCTTAACGTGGTGACACCATAACATTTTAAAAATGAACCTGCTTTTTTGTAAGGAGATGATTCGTGTCAAACCAGCACGGATAATGCGGGCCCTCCTCCTGCAGCTTGTCTCCGAAGACTTCCTGCAGCCCAGCACCGAGTGGATCCATAAGGATCTATTTCTAGGAAACCTACAAGGAGAAGTGTTAAAGAAAGACAATACTTAAATTTTCTGTTATAATTTTTATCTTGAGAGCATTTTCAGACCCCCAAATGTTGCTTGCTTAACCCCGTTAATGACCACATTGAGCTGGAATTCAGCATCTCATTTATGACCCTGTGTAGCCAGGAGACAACTACCTAGGTGAATTGGTAAAGATTAACATTCAGAGCACTTTGGATTGAAAGTTAGGGTTTCTGAACTGGACAGTTTACCAGTTTCTTCTGAGTAAAAGACAGCATCCACAATTCAAAAAAGTACTACAGAAAATTTATTAGTCATAGTAATTGCTCAAAAAAAGTTCAGTAATGATTGGTAACTTCTAAAAGTTCAGTGGTCTTGTAGTATTTTGAAGTATAGTAGTCTTTTATATCCAGAGTACTTAACAGAAATCCTCTTGGGAAAGCGGACAGAATCCTGTGTTAAAATGTTTATATCATATTTATTTTATAATGAGAGAGATTTTTTTTATTTATTTTCTTCATTGTGGTATACTTGTGTTTAGTGTTTACAATATATGGCTTTATTTAATAAGTTAAATTTATCACATAAATTCAGGGGTGCCTGGGTGGCTTAGTCGTTAAGTGTCTGCCTTCAGCTCAGGTCATGATCCCCAGGGTTCTGGGATCAAGCCCAGCATCGGGCTCCCTGCTCAGCGGGAAGCTTGCTTCTCCCTCTCCCGCTCCCCCTGCTTGTGTTTCCCTCTCTCATTGTGTCTCTCTCCGTCAAATAAATAAATAAAATGTTTAAAAAAAAAATTTATCACATAAATTCAGCTAGTCACAATCAGAAATATAGCCTGTTGACTAATTAACACCCATAATTTAATTCTCCTGACATATATGTTATCCAGATATTCTCATTCTTCAGAAATATTACCTAATATTTTTTAAAAAGAGGGGAATGAAAGCCCTGGCAAACAACTTTTGCGTAACTGGAAGTTTCATTCTTTTATCTGACCCTCATTTGCCAAGAACTTATTGAAGGGCTAGTCTCATGGTTCCCCATTAGAGGGCGCTCTTCTGGTGTGAACCAGCCTGCGCCCTCAGGCCCGTGAGGCAGACCCATTGGGCCTCCAGCCTGGTGTTTTCCTAACAAATGGCCCATTCTGTGGGCTTGGTGGTCTTTCATGACGTTAATCTCTGAAAGACTAGAATGTATCCCCCAAAACACCATTAGCTTCCTTTAAGGATCTGTTATGGATCTGTCATCCATGAATTGCCATAAACTGAGGCTGAGGCCATGTCTTGAAGGAAAAACTTAATTGTGATACAGTAGCCAGTGCATTATATATATATAAAATACTTTTTTTCTGCTTAAATTAACCTCTTCCAGATCTCAAAAGGAGATGCTAAATTCTAGTATTGAAAGATTTTGTGAGCAAATCTCTTTTCACCTTTTTCATACAGCTTCGTCAAGGTTGATGGGAGAGTTTTACAGATTTTTCTTTTACAGACTGATCATGTTTTGAGTATAATGAATTTTATTCCTTAACTCATGGTCAGCATTGTTACAGATGTCACATTTTATAAATATACTGTTAAATTCACTTTGCTTTAGACTGTAATTTATCTATAATATAATTCCGTAGTACTAATTGTAGAATCAAAGTAGATAGTTTGGGATATCAGAATTAAAATAATCAAAATAACTATTTTTTTGGTTAAAACCATACTCTAACCATAATGTTACATTGGATTTAGAACAGATCTATATATAACACCCTCGTGTATTTAAACAAATTGTTTTTTCAATTTTCATAATCCAGTGAGGTTTTTTCACCTACTGACTGTTCATGAAGGTTTTTCTCTTGCTTTATTCAGTCATTCAGACTTCATTTTCATTTGGGAAAGTTATTTCTGAATACCGTAACAAAATACCATTTTAGCAAAGTCCATTTACTTTTTAGGCACATGTACCCAGCATTTCAAATAAATGGGTAGGCATAGGTCTTGTTTTAAATGAGATCAGTTTACAAGGCTCCTGTTGGCAAGTTACACATTAGAGTAGCAGACGTCGACATCACCAGGGATTCTGTGCTTTGCAAAAATAATTTGCCATAATATTTTCCTGTTCCATTTTAAATTGTCCTGACTTAAACACAATAACAAATTCTACATTCTCAGGAAGGAATATATGAAATAAAGCATATCTCCATGTCTGTCTTTAGATTTCTCTCATCCTCTGCTGTCCTGGTGCATTCCCAACTCCTTCAGCTTAGTGGCTTAAACACAAAGTACCTGGCAGCTCGTATGGATCCCATAAGTAGATGGTGATAATTTCAGTGCTTGGTTATGTTCAGTAGAAATCAAACTGACTTGTGTTTTAAAATACAGGTTGTCTGATAGATTACATGATCTTAAATGAGTTTTAGGTTTTCTGCAACAATTAGCTGTGAACCCTTAATGTAGCTAATGTTTATAAAAATTTTAGGTAGTCAGAATTACTTATTTTTATTTTTGTAGGGTGTGTCAAAACATGTAGTATTTGCTTTTTGAAATATGTTTGCCTACTTAGAGTTGTAAAATATTCTGTGACTCAGAAATTGTAAAGTCCTTTGACATACTACCAGCATGTCAAAAGAAAAATAGTTTGCATTTGTAATATAAAGCAAAATTGTATTTACTGTATATTATGGAATTTTAAATTTGCACTAACTAGAATACTTTAAAGGTTTATTAATTTACAGATTCATGTGGATCCGAATATATAATCTTTACTTGTTCGGCCAAAAAGGTCAATAGAATAGGTGATAGTTTTGCGTGGTTTTTCCTTGAAATGATAATATTGAAGCAAGTACCAGCACTTTATATTCGGAGGTTTTTTTAATTCTACCTAATTTGGGACGATGGAATATAAGTAGATTTATTTTAAAAATTATCTAGGAATTTAAAAAGAAAAAAGAGTGTTGTTACTCTGTCCCAGTCTGAATGAAGGTATGTTCTCAGCGACAAGACAGAGGCAGTGGTTTTGGTTTTGCTTTTAAAATATGCCCCTGCCTTTCTCAAATTTTCCCTTTAAGGCCTGTCTCCTGTTTCTCAAAGTGTGATCTGCACGTTGCCTGCAGCCTCAGAAACCCCTGGGCGCTGACAGCCTCTGATGCCGAAGCCCAGCCCCTGACTTGAGGAATCAGTGTCTCCGGAGATGGGACAGAGACCTCTCCGGTTTTATTCACAGGCATCTCGGGTGCTCGTGATGCACACTGACATTTTTCAAGCGACTGGTCCGTACCTCGCGTTCACCCAGGGCTTTTGCTGGATGGATACCTGGTAGAAAAATTGAATTGGGTGTTCTTCAAGTTGTTTTTCCTTCACTCCACTGGAGTTCTTCCCCCCCCAAATCATTCTTCTAGAGGAATTCTATGAACAGTTTGTTCCTGTCCTCTCCAAATTCATGTATCCGTCTAGACTCAATTACATAAAAATTGGTAGCCTCAGATCCTTCCGTGGAAACAGGTTTTGAACTGTGATCCATGGAGTCTCAGAGAACAAGCAGTGCTGGGGGCCAGTGGAATGGACCCCCCAGGGGCTCCTGCTTTCTCACTTCACTCAGTGCAGGCCCCTGCTGGACGCTGCTTCAGATAAGATTTCGGTAGATAAAATTCTTCCTCTTTTTGAAGGAATAAAAAAAAAAGGATTCCACTGTTTTTTTTAAGGGTTTGGAAGCCACTATTCTAATGACTTTTGTCAGCTGGTTCATTTTCTGCTGATTTGTACATATTCAGAAACCTCATGTGTTTTGGTGAAAAATACTTCGGTGGTCTCGGTTACTGCTTGGAATGTGACTGTTGGGCTATTTCTCAAGTTTTAAAGGCATTTTGTTGAATAGTAAAGCACTGGCTTAACCTCTGTTTCTCCTGTTTCTAATTTTAGTGTAGAAATGGTCTGAGTATTTAGTTAATGTCAGTTCTGTAAATATACACACGCGTTTACCCCCACAGCCCTGCCTGTAGTCATGCATGAGGCTTGCAGGGATCCAAAAGGGACATGCCAAGGATCTGGAGGACGAATCCAAAAATGTCCCTCTCTCATACAGAAGTTCACAAAACTTAAATGATTGAACCTAGTCACCTGCAGAAACGTCAGAAGCCGTAGATACGAGTGCATTGCTGATGCTAGACACCCCCTCTCTGCAGCTCACTTCCTGGGCTGCCTCACCACGAAAGGGAAGTGTCCACGCAGGACGCCCTGCGCAGGATCAACCGTAGGAAATTTCCACTGTGTGGTGCTTTTTGGTGACCGATGTGGGAAGGTGGAAAGGAGAGCTGGGAAGTTAGGTTGCTGCCCTTGTTCCCCTCACACTGTCCAGGCGACAGGGCATCCGTCACGTGCACAGACTCTGCCACGTGTGAGAACATTCCTGCCGGAATGGGCACTGTGACTCGTAATTCTGTTTTCTACACGTTTAGAGCAGCCTGGATCCTTGGCCTCGATCACTCGCAGGTGAGCTGGCTGAACTGGCTCTCTGAGCCCCCAGTGTCAGCACTTGGGATGGCTCCAGCCACGCACGCCAACTGGCCTTTGCACTTTCTCCCCAGCCCTGGCCACAGTGCCACGTACCTACTGCTTAAGTACCCTGCGTTACTTGCTTTGTTGTGTTTGCTCTGTATTGTGGTCGATGCCTACAGACAGAGAAATGTGAATTAAAGCATTTGATATGTTGGAAACGTTTGTTTTTTAATAAAATTTAAAGTGCAGCACTCCAAAAAGTATGAACCTGTGTTGTTTTTTGACACAACAGTGAGATAAAATAACAGCTTTGAGTTAGTTTCACAGATGATGGTCCTTGGTCTACGGAAAGCAGAATAGAAGATTCCTACCACATGGTTTTGGTAGCCTGGGGCAGAGTGTACAAACTTGAATGCACATTCATTCTTGTCTTTACCCAAAAGTCCATTTTTACAAATTTTTTGAAATAAAAATTCAGGGCTCCTGGGTGGCTCAGTCATTGAGCGTCTGCCTTCGGCTCAGGTCATGACCCCAGAGTTCTGGGATCGAGCCCCGCGTTGGGCTCCCTGCTCGGCAGGGAGCCTGCTTCTCCCTCTCCCTCTCCCTGCTTGTGTTCCCTCTCTCGCTGTGCCTCTCTCTGTGAAATAAATAAAATCTTTAAAAACAGGGGAAAAAAACTTAAAATTCACTGTTCACTTGCCTACTTTTTATTTTTTTTTTAAGGATTTCTTTTTTTTTTTATTCATTTGAGACAGAGAGAGAGCAAGGAGCAGTGGGGAGAGGAAGAGGGAGAAGCAGACTCCCTACTGAGCAGAGAGCCCATGTGGGACTCGATCCCAGGACCTGGAGATCATGACCTGAGCCATAGGCAGAGACCTAACCATCTGAGCCACCCAGGCACCCCTACTTTTTATTTTAAACAGACACTGCCAAGCCTGGTGTACCTTTTCTTGATCAGTTTAAACATGAATTACCCACTGAAGTTCACAAGGAAGACTATTAACTGAAGAACCCTGGACAAGTCTGTTTTGACTTCTTACGCAGTTTTTTTTTTTTAAGATTTTATTTATTTATTTGACAGAGAGACACAGTGAGAGAGGGAACACCAGCAGGGGGAGGGTCAGAGGGAGAAGCAGATTCCCCGCCGAGCAGGGAGCCCGATGAGGGACTCGATCCCGGGACTCCAGGATCATGACCTGAGCCGAAGGCAGTCGCCCAACCAACTGAGCCACCCAGGCGCCCCTTCTTATGCAGTTTTAACACACTTATTGGCCATTTGGGTGCTCTGCCAGATGTTTCTACTTACTTTCATCTTGTTATAATCGGCAGTGCTCAAGTAGACCTTATCAAGTCCATATTCCAGGTTGGTAACTCAGAGCTTGATGATGCCCAGCGCTCATCCCCACTGCTTTCTCATCCTCAACACCCCTCACCACCACCAATGTACTGTACAGAAAGCAATGTGAGGTGTGGGCAGACATGTCATGGTGCCGGGCACTGGGAATGCTAGGGTTTGTGATAAACCCTCCTAGGGACTCCCCACACAAGGAAACTGATCCACATACATTTTATTATTTTTTTTAATGTTTTATTTATTTATTCATGAGAGTCAGAGAGAGAGAGGCAGTGGGAGAAGCAGGCTCCCCGCCGAGCAGGGAGCCCGATGTGGGACTCGATCCCGGGACCCCGGGATCATGACCTGAGCCGAAGGCAGTCGCTTAACCATCTGAGCCACCCAGGCGCCTGATCCACATACATTTTAAAGATGAATTACTTGTGGAAGGAGTTCAGAGATTTTAACGAGCTGAAAGCATTACACGGCCATAAGAACTGAATTTTTTCAGTAGGGTTTTGGAACTAGGAAATAGAAACAACATTAATTAGTCTGTGAGAAAGCTGTGTATACTCTGAGCTCTTGAGGGCAGGGAGCTTATCTTGTTCATCTCTGCATTCAAATTAATGAGCATGTGCACATAGTTTGTGAAGATTCTGTTCTATGTGTTCTAGAACACTTGCTCTCAACCTCCAATTTCCAGCATAGTCTACAAACAAATGAAGTTTCTGGGGCAGCCCAGGCAAACGGCATACCCGCATGTATCTCACACCCCATTCTCTGGGAAGTGCCCCCAACCAAAGACTCTGCCAAAGGACCATGTAATCATTTCCCGCTTGCGGCTGATCGGACCCAGGAGCCCATCAGTTGACCAGTAACCAGATTCTCAGAGGGGCTTTGTTTTCATGTACCCTCTAAAGCCATATGACTCAAAGTATGGCCCACAGATTGTTTGCTTCCAATCCATCAGGAAGTTAGTGCAGAAATTGAGTAAGCGTTTAGAAATTTTTACGGCTTGGAGTGCCTGGGTGGCTCTGTCGGTTAAGCATCTGCCTTCGGCTGAGGTCATGATCCCAGCGTCCTGGGATCAAGCCCCGCATCAGGCTCCCTGCTCAGCAGGAAGCCTGCTTCTCCCTCTCCAGCTCCCCCTGCTTGTGTTCCCCCTCTCGCTGTGTCTCTGTCAAATAAAAATCTTTTTTAAAAAATAAACATTAAAAAAAAGATGTATTAGAAATTTTAAAAAATAAGAACAACAACCAAAAACACCTGCCTGGTCCCACCACAGTGAGTTTTGAGAAGCCCTGCTTTAAATCCTTCCTTCCGTAGAGGAGGGGGGCCAGTTGCAGTGAGTTTCCTTATAAATAAGCTCTGACTGAAATACTGCAGGAGGCTTGGTTTAATTTGATGATAGGAGTAGTAACCTTTGGTGTCCTACCAAAGCTTGTGACCATGATTCAGGTAATGACAATGGACTCTGAACGAAGGAAACACTCAGATCACAGGAGAGAGGGGGAGAGAGGACCAATAAGGACTTGTCAACTATATTTCAAATAAAAAAGACTGGTAAGAACCTGTTATCTCAAGATAGGTAAGAAATTGTGTAAACTGGAACTTACCTATAAACAGAACCATATGGTTTGGAATTAAGTGGTATAATCACTTATGTTTACAGAGCATTTGACCATTTATGAAGCAATTTCACATATTTTATTTATTCCTCACAAAAACCCAACTGAGCAGGGAGAGGAGATACCGTTCGTTTTCCAAACGAGTACACTGTGATTCGGGAAGGTTAGTGACATGCCAGGGTCTCACGGAGCTGGAGTCTTGTGATTCCAAAATCTAATGGGCTTGTTGTTGCTTTGTCTCTAAGTTATGCCGGGTTCTGTCTCGGTCAGGGGCTCTCAGCCTTTACTGGGTCAGAAGCAGACTTCTGTAAGAAGCTGGTTATAGTTACGGACACACACACACACACACACACACGGTGTTATAATGTTGCTATACACGTACAGCAGAATTTTAAAACCAACTTCAGGGGCCTCCTTAGACTCCACTTAACAACTTCTGAGCCAAGAACACCAGTCCAACTGGAGTGTCTCAGACATTTAGTACCAACTGGCTATGAATTTGCTCTGTCTGGTTATCCTCCACCGTCTCTAGTCATTTTCTTTTTTTTTTTTTTAAGATTTTATTTATTTAACAGAGAGAGAGCACAAGCAGGGGGAAAAGCAGAGGGAGAATCAGGCTTCCCGCAGAGCAGGAAGCCCGATCCCAAGACCCTGAGATCATGACCCGAGCCGAAGGCAGATGCTTAATCGACTGAGCCACCTGGGCGCCCCTCTAGTCATTTTCTTTTCGGACTCATCCACAAGACCACGTGGTACTACAGGGAACTCAGTGACACACGGGTTCGGGAGAGCCAGTGGTAGAGAAAGGCTTCAGGAAGGAAGAAAGTGGCACTTAGCCTGAACTACAGGAGACGCCATCTGGCGTATTCAAAGAACATTGTGTTGGCCAAGTTGGTGAGGAGAAAAGGTTAGTGTGGAGGATTCATGGAAAAGGAATTTGGAGATACAGCAAAAACCGGAGAGCCTTGAACAAGAAGCTAAAGCATAGCGACTTTAAGCCTGTAAACTTCGGGGTGCTACCTACGAAATGTCATCTTGACATCACCCGGGCAGTGCCGTGGAAGATGAGTTACAAGGAGAAGGGTTAGAAACAGGAAGCCTAGTTCAGGGATTTTACTACAACGTAGGAGTGAGCAGACGAGGCTTTGAATTCAGGTGGAGACAAGAGATGGGAGTAGAGGCAGAAATGAGAACATTTATAGGGGAAGAATGACAGTTCTGGATGGAGGATACCTCGAGGAAAGGGTTAAGTTGCCTCAAGATTTCCAGCCGTGGAAGAATGAATTTGTTCAATATTGATTGTGACTACATCAACGATAGGAATGGGGACGTGCAGGGTTTCAAGCTCGCCTGAAAGGCCAAGGCCTGACTGATTCAACCAGTGAAGTTACAAGGAGCCACTTTTATTTATTTATTTATTTTTAATATTTTATTTATTTGACAGAGAGACACAGCGAGAGAAGGAACACAAGCAGGGGGAGTGGGAGAGGGAGAAGCAGGCTTCCCGCGGAGCAGGGAGCCCGACGCGGGGCTCGATCCCAGGACCCTGGGACCATGACCTGAGCCGAAGGCAGACGCTTAACCATCTGAGCCACCCAGGTGCCCCCGCTTCCAGGGTTCTAATGTGTTCTCCTGAGCCCATCTCTTGAGATGAGTGTTCCTCAGCTATAATAAAAAAAAAAAAAAAAAAAAAATGGAGAATAGAATCCGCTTCTCAGGGTTGCTTGGAAGACGTAATAAGGTAAGACGTGTTATGGTCCGCAGTGTCCTGACCCCATGGAAATGCCTACAACCATTGCAGTCGTTCTCTGACCAGGAGGTGAGCAAACCTGCAGACCAAGCCAATAGGCCAGGAATGGCAGTGTGGAAGGAAGGGAAGACCCATTGAGGAAAACACTGATGCACCGAGTCAGTCAATGCTGGAACTGCCCTACCTTGGGACTACGTGGTGTGTGAGATGAAAAATTTCCCAATTTTTTTAAGTTGGGTTTTCTGTTCATTGGCATCAAAAGCAGCGTCCTCACTAATATGTATGCAGAGTCTGGTACGTTACCGGGAACATAATAGGTAGGAACTAACAGTATACTGACTAGTTATGTACTAGTTATGTACTAGTTATGTACTAGTACTAGTAGTACTGACTAGTACTACTGACTAACCAACTACGTTGGTTAGTTATAATGAGGATGATGGTGGTGGTGGTGATGATAGTGGGTGGGTTCCTGAAGGGCAGAATGCCAAGCTAAGAACAGCGGGGACCCTGGACACTCAACTTTAAGGGGGAGTGGACAAGTAGAATCAACAGAGGATGAAATGACAACCAGGAAAGAAAAGGGGAAGAGTGAAGTATGATGCAAGTCAAGGAGATGAGAAATATCCGTATACGAGGGAAGGCTCTACCATGTAGAATGCTGCAGAGTGAATGTTCTTCCCCTCATCTTAGTGGACCTCAAAGGGGCCCAAACTGGACACACAAAAGCCCAGATGGATGTATTTATTGATGCCCCCTGAGATGTTCTTCTAGACTAGTGATTCTCAAAGCACGGTCCCCAGATCTGCAGCACCAGCAACACCTGAGAACTTGCTAGAAATGTTAAGTCCCAAGACCTACTGAATCCGAAACTCTGGGGATAGAGCCCAGGAATCTGTTTTAACAAGTCCTTCAGGTGATTGAAATGCCTCTAATATCTGAGAATCATCCAGACTAAATACCTAGGTGCTAGGGAATTTGCTCCTGAGGATGTTGTGTCCTATGAAGAAAGGGAGAAATGGAGAGAACTAAATCCCAGGGCAAAATCAGTCCCTTTGAGGGGTTGACGAGGGGTATGGAGGTTTTCTCTGTGCAAGGTTGAAGAAAGGGCTCTCTCCTCCCAGGAAAATCAGATGGACCCCGACGAGAAAAGATAGGCTAAACTCCAGAGTGCTTCGAGAGGATGCCTGTTGAGGATTTAACTTTTGCATTTTTCTTTTTTCCTAGGACTCTGGAAATAGTCGTGTTTAGCATCAGGTGTTAAATATTACTTTTTTGCTCTGTTACAAATTCCTCTGTCTGACCCCAAACATAGAACAGTCTTTTATGCACGTTGGAGCTTGTATTCGCGATGTTCATTCACAGATTTGATGAACATTTCTTGTGCATCTACTACGTCCCAGGCACTTTGCTGCTGTTTACGAAATAGCCGAGAACAAGAGAGACAAAAACTCCTGTTCTCTTGGGGCACCTGGGTGGCTCAGTCATTAAGCATCTGCCTTCGGCTCAGGTCATGATCCCGGGGTCCTGGGATCGAGTTCCACATCGGGCTCCCTGCTCAGCAGGAAGCCTGCTTCTCCCTCTCCCACTCCCCCTGCTTGTGTTCCCTCTCTGTGTCTCTCTCAAATAAATAAAATCTTAAAAAAACAAACTCCTACTCTCAGGGAGCTTTCTGGAGGGAAATGAGAGAGGAGGACTAAAGGGGAGTGTGGCCTTCCTCACATTACCTTACACTTGAAATAAAATACAAAACTCTGCCACAATGTCCTCCAGATGACAGACACATTCCTGCCACAGGGCCTTTGCTCTTCTCCCCAAGCTTAGCTTCACGTGGTCTGACCCTCTATGTCACTTCATTCTGGATGTTGATCAGATGTCCCCCCATCAGAGGGGTCTTCCCTGAACATCTTATCTGGCTCACCACATACACACATAAATCTATCACACTATGTCCTAACCTTGCTTTATTTTAGCGAACTTTTTCCCTAACATTTACCTGTGTTGTCTGTTCCCTCTACTAGAACGTAGACTCCATGAAGGCAGGGATTTGGGGGTTTTTTTTTCCACTGCTGTATCCCCAGCGTGAGAACAATACCTGGCATATAGTAAGAATTCCCAAAAGTATTCCCGGAATGAACAAGCCACCCCTCCACGAGGCTTTCTGTGTTTCTGATGATGACCATTCTCACAGGCATGAGGTGATAGCTCATTGTGGTTTGATTTGCATTTCCCTGATGATGAGTAACGTTGAGCATCTTTTCATGTGTCCACTGGCCATCTGATGTCTGCTTCAGAAAAATGTCTGTTCAGATATTCTACCCATTTTTCAATTGGATTAATTGTTGTTTCAGGTGAAGTTGCCATTGATTTCATGACACTTTTCCCAGTTTCCCATGATGTAAGCAAGTTTTCCCTCCACTGAATCACTCTAGTTCTTTCTTTCTGCCTGGCATATATTTATTTGATTTTTCTGTAAGTTTATAAGCTCTTTGTCGTTACATCCTATATCTGATTTATTCCATAATCTTCAGTCTTTGGTCCACTGTTTGGCATATAGAACACTCAAAACAACTGTTTGTCAAATAATAGGATTAACTAATAAATAACTGAATGAATGTGGAAGGAAAAAAAAAATAATACTGTGGTAACAGTATTATTGCAGGGAGGGATCTGGAGTCAGAGTTCCACGCAAAGAGCCACTCTAATGACCCACAGAGGCTTATCTGGGGCAGGGGCGGGACGACAGTCCTAAATAGAGCAACAGAAGATGACCTATGACCCAGGGAGGCACGCCCTTGGGCTCCACCAGATTTGCCAAATTGGTGGCTTTTCACTGTTGTTGCTTTGTTAAGGAACACAGGGCCTACCGGGCAGCACAGGGGAGAGGAACTACCTCATGGAGGGAAAGAGACTGATCAAAAATACAACAGAGAAGAGACCACTGTGGGATACAATTCCAGCATCTTCTAGTCTCCACCTTGCCGTAAGCTGGGAGGGGGGTGGATTATCACTTCCAGAATTCTCTCCTTTTCCCCATGGCAAAGCCTGCTGTTCCCTAAGTGTCCAACAGCACCTAATACTGTTGTACTTAGTTTCTGGTTATTGGCCACCTTCCAGAGAGGTGACAAATGAAAGGTCACTTACGTGTCACTGTTCAAATGTGCTAAAGGAATATCGAACTGTTAGACATCAAGGGTAATGTCTCATTATGAGTCATCAAGGAATGCAAAAGCTGAACAGAAACCACCCCACCTCACAGACAGGACTCCTGGGAATAGAACAGAGGTCTACCCGTAGAATAGGACAAAATTGCACAGCCATCCCACGAGAGGGAAATAAATGCAGAAGCTTTTTTGTTTACATTTCATAGGATTCTGTTTCTGACTAAAGATAGTTGGCACTTCTGATATCATTAGCAAATTTCCGATTTGTGTTTTTAAAAATAACTTTCATAAACAGCAGCAGAGCACAGACTAAATTCAGCCTTTTCTTTTTTTTTTAAAGATTTTTATTTATTTGAGAGAGAGAGCACATGAGAGGGGGGAGGGTCCGAGGGAGAAGCAGACTCCCCGCCGAGCAGGGAGCCCGATGCGGGACTCGATCCCGGGACTCCAGGATCATGACCTGAGCCGAAGGCAGTCGCTTCACCAACTGAGCCCCCCAGGCGCCCCAATTCAGCCTTTTCTCCAGGGGTTGCATCAAGAGGTGTCATTCCTTTCTAAGTGAGTGTTTTATAAAGTGGGAATGCATTTTAGAGCCTTTTCTTTTTTAAAAGAAGCAACTTCTGTTAACGAAGCATTGATTTGGTTTGGCGTTTTAAGAATTTAGTTTCTGGGGGTGTCAGTTGGTGGAGCGTCTGACTCCCGATCTCAGGGTTGTGAGTCTGAGCCCCATGTTGGGTGTAGAGATGACTTACAAATAAAATAAATTTAAACAAAGAATTTAGTTTCTGTGCAACCGAACAGGTGACGCTACTCTTTGTGTCATTTCAAGAGTTATTGTATTTGGTAGTTCCAGGGGCAGCAGGGGAATAATCCAATATTATTAATGGATATTGGTAGTGAGGTTCAAATGCTATTGTGTGTGTGTGTAAATCTTTTACATAGAGAAGATGAATGTAAAATTGCAAGCTGAGTAGTTTTTCCATATGAACATTTCCCTGCCCTCAAGAGTAGAAGAACAGTAACTGCACAGAACAAAAAATCAATTAACATAGATGCCAGCCAAGCTGAAACTGGTCTGTAAGTGTTCAAGGAGAAAAAAAAAAAAAGGAGAGCATTATGGCAGTTGTTGTTTTTTTTCCAAAGATGACCACAGCATTATTTCCCATTCTACATGCTTAGTTACATTCAGTGTATGTGGTCTAAACACATCAGTTAAAAACAGAGATTGTCAGATTGCAAAAAGCAGCAAGAACCAAATATATGCTGTCTTATAAGAAATACACTTCAAACATGACATAGGTTAAAAGCAAAAGGATGGAAAAAAGATATGCCATGCTAACATTAAGCAAAAGAAAGCTAGAGTGTCTGTATTAATATCAGACAAGCGGTTTTCAGAGCACAGAATTTTAGCAGGGATGTAAAGGTTGCTTCATAAGGATAAAAGGACATAAAAATCCTAAATAGGTGCTTAATAAGGAAGCTTCAAATTTCATAAAACAAAGACTGATAAAAAAAGAAAGTAGATACGCCCACGGTTTTAGTCAAAGATTATAAAACCCTTCTCCCAATAACTGATACAACAAGTAAGCATAAATCAGTAAGGATATAAATAAAGGACTTGAACATTATCAACTTGACCGAGTGACATGTATAGAACAGTCCACCCAGCAACAGCCGTATACACAATCTTTTGAGATGCACATGAACATTTTCCAAGTTAGATCATATTCTGAGTCATGAATCAAAACTTGCTAACTTTCCAACAATTCAAACAATGCAAAGTATATGTCAGACCACAATGGAATTAAATTAAAAGCCAATAGCAGAAAGATATCTGGAAAACCCCCCAGATATGTAAAAACTAAAAAAACACACTTCTAAATAACTGATGGGTCAAAGAAGAAATAAGGGAAACCAAAAGTATTTTGAACTGAATAAAAATGAAAGCATGGACGTCCACATATACGAAGCTTGGAAGTTGCAATTCCCTCCTAACAGTAAGTACAAAGCTGACAGATTGAATGATCAGCCACTCTTCTTGGACCCATACGAGACGGGAGTACGCAGGGCCGACTGCTGTCCCCAAGATTGGAGACACAGACGGCAAACAAGGAATCATGACTTCTGAAGGCTGAGACTCACCAATGGAACCACTGCTGGAGTAGAAACACCCGGAGTGTAACTGATGAACTGCTGGCGACTTGGGTGGACGACTCCGAAGGTTAAAAACTCCAAGGGGCCCAGTCATAGGGGGACTCCCACCGTATTGTGAGATTTACCTCCAAGAGCTCAATCAGGTTCCCACAGTAAATACCGGAGAAAAATCCTCTTGAGCTTCCAGGAGGTAGGGGAAGAGGGACCATTCTGAAATACAGCAGAGCACTCTGCTCTTCTTAACAAGGCCTGTCCTCAGGAGAAACTATTTCACCACAGCCTACCCTGCTGGGCTTTTATCAGAGCCTAGCAGATCTGGGGGCAGAGAAGTAGCCCACTGCAGCCCCCTCTAGCCATCCTGTCCTACTTGGGGGGAGGAGAAGAAGACTGAGAAATACTTGTGAAGCTCACAGCCCAGAAGCATAGGCTCACCCAGGTCTGAGACCTCATCACAGGACTACGGAACACGTCCCGTCCGCCCACACCAAAGGCCTGTCCACAGCCACGCCTCTCACCTTCGCCGAGTACATCGCGTGTGGCTAGGCAGAAGAGGTTACAGAGCAGGCCAGAAGGCAGACACCACAATCCGAAGAGGTACAGCAGACATGGTAGGGATGCTGGAACGATCAGGCTGGGAATTTAACACAACTATAATTAATTAGCTAAGGGCTTTGATAGATAAAGTAGATGGCATACAGGGACGATGGGCACTGTAAACAGAGAGATGGAATTCCTTATAAAGAACCAAAAAGATGGGACACTTGGGTGGCTCAGTCGGTTAAGCGTCTGCCTGCCAGGGTCCTGGGATCGAGCCCCGCATCGGGCTCCCTGCTCCGCGGGGAGCCTGCTTCTCCCTCTCCCTTTGCCTGCCGCCGCTCTGCCTGGGTGTGCTCTCTCTGTCAAATAAATAAATACAATCTTAAAAAAAAAACAACAAAGTTTGCAATCCCGCCACCTCTGTGCTCACAGCACATGGTGCACGGTGACACAATTCTGCTAACAGCCCGCAGTTTGGATTCTACAGGCTGGGGGACACTGTCCCAACAGGACTGCCCTTGCTTCAGACAGCAGCCACACTTCGGGGGTCCCCAGGCCGCCGACACTTCTGACTGGCAAATCCAGAAGGTAATGCTAACCTTGAAAATGAAAGTTGTATTTCCAGCAAAAATAGATTTATTCAGGAATAGCAGAGAATTGCAACTCGGGACATGCAAGTCACGGCAAAACTACACACAAGTCCTGAGAACAAAAGGGAGGAACATTCTTTGACAGAGGAAAGAGGGCGGGCGGTTTCTGGAGGGTTCTCAACAGAAGTCCGTTGGCATAAACTGGGAGTTGCAAGAGTGATGGCTTTTCACCAGCTGAGTTGTAAAGGTCTCTCATTGGCTGGGCTGTTGCCGGGGCAGGAGAAAATCTCTCTCCCTCCTGCTGGGGTAGTAAAGTGTAGGCTTCTTCCTGCTGCGAATGCAAGGTATTCTCTTCCCCCTGGGTCTGCAGAGGGCTGCAAGGAGTGGTACAGCATGAGAGCTCCCCCTTCCAGCCTCCTGACTCCATTTTTTTTTAAAAAAAGCCTTATTTATGAGAGAAAGACAGAAGGAGCACAAACAGGGGAAGGGGCAGAGGGAGAGGGACACGCAGACTCCGTGCTGAGCGTGGGGCCCGAGGTGGGGCTCAATCCCACAACCCTGAGATCGTGACCTGAGCTGAAACCAAGTGTTGGACGCTTAACCAACTGAGCCACCCAGGTGCCTCCCAACTGCATTTCAAATGAGGCTTCCTTTATTCAGCTGTGCAGCTCCCGCGTGTCGTAGGCTGAGATGCTGTGACAAAAGTACCAGAAACTGGGTGACTTCAATCGCAAACATTTATTTCTCACAGCTCTGAAGGCTGGAAGATCCAGCCAAGATCCAGGGCTGGTTGATTCAAAGCCTGGTGAGGAACAGCTTCCTGGTTCAGACAGCTGTCTTCCTGCTATGTCCCCACATGGCAGAAGGGGTGAGGGAGCTCTACGGAGGTCTCTTTATAGGGGCACTGATCTCATTCACGAGGGCTCTGCTTTTATGACCTAATCCCCCCACCCCTCCCATCGCACTGGGGGTTAGGTTTCAACACATGATTGTTGAAGCAAGAGAAACATCCAGCACCTCCCTCGGGCTCAAGAATTCACGAAAACAAAACAAAACAAAAACAAAATTCACGAGAACTCCCAGAACTCAGAAAGTGCTATACTTTTCAGTGTGTGTAGACGATGCATACGATGTCTGGGCTGCAAGAAAAAGTGCCAGATACTGCTTTGTTACATTCACAGGTTCTAAGGCAGGTCAACCAGCCTTGGCCCTAGTAGTTCTCATGGGTTTCAAAAGATCGGTGCCTACGGCCCTAATTGTCTCCTGAAGAGTCGACTCCTTAAAAAAATCAGCTCGTGAAATAATAGCTCAAATACTCTGAATTAACTAAAGTCAATAGTGGGGGGAGGCGGGATAAAGAAATGATGTCCCAATATTAGTTCCAGGTCACAGATCCATTTCAGAGTAATGAAGCCAGAGGCACCGACCGGTCTTGAATAATACAAACACCCGACCCTGACCTGCTCATGCTAGAGTGACTGCGTCGGTCCCTGACGCCTGCGTCTGGGGTCGTAGTTTTATGTTTGTGTTTCTGGGGATTTCTGACTCTTCCCCAGGGTGCCGGGGGGCATCTAGGTGGCATCTCCTCCATGACGGGATGGCAAGAGTAGTGAGCAGAGGAATCCAATACCTCCTCATCTGACTGACTTTGCAAAACGAGAAGTCAGATGAATGCAAAGTTGCCCCAACCTTGAGGACTGTGCCCTGGGCAGTGGCGAGGGAACTTACGTCTCACCGCTGCACACAGGATGGCTCAGGACAGCAAGGGTTTCCATCTCCAGAGCCCCTTGCACAGAGTTCAGCGCGGGCTACCCACTTGCCTCTCTCACACACAGAGGGAAGTATCTGCCCCGTCCCGAGGCTGGGACAACGCGCGGGGGAGGCGCGCTCTGTTGCCCTGAGGTCCACAGAAGAGAGCCACAGCAGGACCCACGGACTCCCCGCCAGCATTCTCCTCCCCTCAGCCCAGCTGTCTCCCAAGCCAAATTGGCTTCAGACAAGGCTTTTGTTTCAGAGGATCAATGAAGATGCTTTTGACCTGGGCCAACAGCAGAGAAGAATCACCAAAGAACTCTTCTTCCCAGAATCAAAGGAAGAAAACTTTAAAAAAAACTACATCTCGGCTACTGCAGGGATCTCTTCCCTACAAAGATGATCTCCCTCCCAAGGAAGTGGAAGTCCTTGCCAGGGGAGGACACAGATCAACACACCCATCAGGAATTTCCAGTGCTCGGGGCTCGATGGGAGTGCCCTGGAATTCCAGCTCGAGGCCAGAGATGTGTTACATTCTCAAATACTCATAGAAGAGGTCTGGGGTCGCCACGTCCCCAATGGTGACCTCTTTTTTATACCACAAAGAGCCTAATCTGAGCTTCCCCTCTTAGGAAAGTCCAGAGCAGGATTCATCTCACCAACAGGAGGTTAAATTCCTCCCACTTTTGGATTGGGAATTTATATCCTGACAACATCAGGATATAAGGAGCTTGGGAAATTCTGGCAATCCATTCCTTCCTTCCCCTTCATGGACTGGGATCATTTTCACTGCACAGAAGCACTGCAGGAAAGTTAGCCCCTTGTGCTTGGGCCCTGTAGTGCATTCTCTCCCTGGCCCTTAAAGTCTCTGGCTCCCCTAGCCTGGTCAACCCCCATCTGGAATTAGCTCAAAGGAGGCAAAGAGAAGGGGCTAGAGCCAGCGGCAGGCATCTGACTCCCGTGAGGGCCAGCCCCGGGGGGTGCAGCCTGTGGCCAGGGATAAACAGGAATGCTGATGTTTCCCAGGACCTGCCAGAAGATGCTTTGGGCCACAGGTAGTCACCCCAGCAGGTGAGCTAGCGTGGTCCGGGAGGCAGCCCCGCATGACCTGTCCATGCGATTACAGGCTACGGATAGCAAGCCTAGCTGTCCACTCGACTGTGCTGGCCACCGTGGGATCTCCACCAGCCAGTCCAGGATCTCACAGTCCTGGGGAGGAGAGGCTACCACGGAGCCCAGTTATCAGTAAGAAGGCAAGACAACACTCTACTAAGAGCAAAACCACCACGCTCTGTCAACCCAGAGCAGGGTCGCTCTTGCCCAGGGGAGTTCCTTGCCCCAAAGCCTAAGCTATGGGAAGAAGGCCTCCCCAAGGCTCTGTGGGTACAGCCAAAGAATGTCAGCCAAGAGTGGGAAATGGGAGGGGTTTCCATCTGTGGGACCTGGGTCACCTTCACCTTGAATCACAAATTCCACAAAGGCTGATTCAGATCGTGGTTCGAAACCTTAGCCTGAAAAGTTTCCTGTTGCATTAAACATTTGAAAGCCATCGATGGGGTGTGAGGTACGAGGAGAGGAAGGGGGGCAGGCCTATTTGCCAGTGGAGGGATCTCTTCCCTACAAAGAAACTCTGATCTGGGTGGAGACCCGACATGTGTAGTTTCTCTTAAGGACAGAAAATAACCAGGGTCTGAGCATACACCCGAATGCCCGCAGGTGGGCAGGGGGAGGGGTGGGGGGTGAATAACTGAAATTCAATTACTCTGGAATTTTTAAACAATCTATTGCGTTGAATAGCCCTATAGGGAGGAATCAAAATGCTAAGAACCGAAGGCTGATCCAGAGAGCAAAGGGGCTCACGCCACGTCGCCTGAGGAGCGCACGGCGGCTACAGACTCCCTCCAAGAGGAAAGGGTGCTAACGATTTTACCCCCCAAAGCCCCGCCCCACGCCCGCAGCCAGAGACCTACCAGAACAAGGGGGAGGAGGTCACCCTGCCCTAATGGGCACCAGGAGGTGGCAATGCTTCCTGGCCCAGCACGCGATCACCCCCACCCCTTCCCCTGGCCAGATCTCTCCTCTTACCCCATCCCCCGGCCCCCGCCTCCCACCAGGTCCCCTCCCACACTCTCAACCCCTGGTCCCTCAGAGGTCCCCCTGCAGCTCTGCCCCCCACAGTCTGGGGCCCGCAGAGGCCCGCGTCCGGGGCCTGCCTACTTGGAGCAGATGGAGAGCATGGCACCAGCAGAGAACACCCAGAAGGCCGGGTACAGGGCTTCCGTGAAGTCCACCTTGAACTTATACATCAGGTGGACCCTGTCGGCGACGGCAAAGAAGATGACGAAGCCATGGTCACAGTTGAGAAGCACACCGACCCGCGTGGCCTTGGTGGAGGGCAGCGTCTTCTCCACGTTGTTGTGCCACGCAGAGATCTTGGTGTTGAACCACTCCACGCACCACGAGGCGCTGTTGCGGCCGAGCCGGCTCTCGGGGCCCTGGCGTGGCATGCTGCCATAGCAGACGCCCACCCCACAGAAGTGGCTCTTCTGCAGCTCCACCTCCCAGTAGTGGATCCCTTTCTTGTAGCAGTGCAGGCCCAGCACCTGAGAGCAGTACATGAACCTCTTGGGATGCGGCTGGTAGTTCAGGGGTGAGTCGGCCACAGAGGCGACACTGTAGTTCTCCGACAGCGCCACCTTGTTGTGGGCGGTGTTGTAGTCCAGGCTGAATTTAACGGCATCTAAGAAAGCATTACCCAGGGGATCGATTACAAGGAGCCCAAAGTGCTCTCATGTTTAAACCTTTCCCCCTTGGGACGCCTGGGTGGCTCAGTCGTTAAACCTTTCCCCAACTGGTAGTACTTATTTATTTTATCCATCCATCTATCCACCCATCCACCCATATATCCATCTCTCCATCCATCCATCTATCCATCCATCTACCCATATATCCATACCTCCACCCATCTATCCCATCTACCTACCCATCCACCCATATATCCATATCTCCACCCATCCATCCATCTATCCATCCATCTACCCATATATCCATATCTCCACCCATCTATCCATCCATCTATCTACCCATCCACCCATATATCCATATCTCCACCCATCCATCCATCTATCCATCCATCTACCCATATATCCATATCTCCACCCATCTATCCATCCATCTACCCATGCATCCACCCATATATCCATATCTCCACCCATCCATCTACCTATATATCCATATCTCCATCCATCCACCCACCCACCCATCCACCCATATATCCATATCTCCACCCATCCATCTACCCACCCATCCACCCATATATCTGTATCTCCACCCATCTACCCACCCATCCACCCATATATCCGTATCTCCACCCATCTATCCATCCACCTACCCACCCACCCACCCATATATCCATATCTCCATCCATCCATCTACCCACCCACCCATCCACTCCATCTGTCCATCATCCATACACACATCCATCCATCCATCCTATCCAGCCAGCCTGACATGTGTCCATCTGTCTATCCATCAATCCAGCCAACTCTCCATCTATCTGTCACCCATCTGTCTATTCATTCACCCAAAGCCATTTACTGAGCACCTGATTCTGGGCAAGACACACAACTCTGACCAGACATGGTACCCAACCTCATGGCAAGGCAAGCCCATCAGTGACCACACCGTGAGGCCGCACTCTGCTAACCAGGTGGTGCACTGCTCTAGGGGCAAAGTGACTCTACTTGAAGGGTGGGGAGAGCACAGGGGAACATTTCGCAAGTGGGCTGGAATCTGAGCTGAGCAACAGGAAGCTGAGAAAAATTAAACAGAAGCAAGCAGAGTGGGGTGAAGCTAATCTGGGCAAAGGGGACAGCAAAAGCAAAGCCTGGAGTCACAAGGATGGTGGCATGTACTGGGACCAGAAAAGGCTGGGCAGCTGGGAGAGAGGTCCTAGCAGGAGAAGGGAGACAGGTCGGGGCCACAGGGCAGAGAGCTAAAGGATCTAGACTTTACTTGGTGGGCAGCAGGGAGCCAAACACAGCAATTACCTGAATATTCCTGGTCGGGACACTCGCATGGCCTCCCTACCCTTCCTGCCACACTTCCAATCAGCTCCAGGAGATCTGAAGACTGAGCTCAGCTGCATGTTGTCCCCATGCTCAACCTCCTTCCTGGGACACACTCATTTCTGCCCCTCCCCTCCCAGGAGACCCTGGACCGTGGGAGAGAGGTCCCAGGGCAGAGGGGAAATCCCTAGCTTGGGAACTTGGAAACCAAGAGACCCAGGTTTTTGCCACCGCCTGCCACTCCCTTGCTAGATGGCTCAGGGCAGGATGCTTTCCACGGAGGCCTGAGGTTCCCCCCCCCCCCCCCCGCCAACCCGGGGCAAGATGAACAGAGGAGGGAAAATGTTCTCCAAGGTCCTGCGTTGCTACAACTCCCTTTCTCTGCCCACGCGGCTGATCTCAAGCAGCCCAGGGCTCCAGAAACACGTGGCTCAGTGCGTCACCTCACCGGCAGCTCTGTGGCAGTTAGCTCTGGCCCCAGGCCAGGCCTGGGTCTTGCGGGGGGCAGGGGAGGAACCGCAGGAAGCTCTGGGGACACAGGCCCTGAGAAAGCTGGCCCCTGCCGTAGACGGCCCGGGCTGACTGCAAAGGTACCTATGAAGGAGCGACCAGAGGTGCGGGTGGTGCCCAGGGCAGCACAGCGACTCTGCAGACGCAGGGGGTGTTCCTTCTAGAAGGACGAATGCCCCCAGAGGGCCAGCCAACTGAAGGCTGGAAGGCGTCCTTGACGTTCAGCTGCACGGGGGCTGCCACTACCCCCAGCCAGAGCGGGCCTGCCGCAGGGCAGGGACAGAGGCCCGACTCGCGGCTCTCGCCCCCCGCGGCCCTGGGGGGCTTTCGGCAACACGGACACTTGCAGCTCTGGCAGCAGCGGGACGGGGTCCAGCTCCCCGGGGGTTCTGACCCTTGGCCACAGCAATGCAGCTGTAGTTTTCCAACTTCCCTCCAAAGATCACAGAGGAAATGAGACTACCACCCAGCTTTCTGTGCTGGTCCCCTGCAGCCGGATCTTGCAGCACTGGCCTGGGCCCAGAAATCTGTATTTTTCACCCGTATTCAGGCGAGAGGGAGGCTGTCTGCATTCGCCGCTTTTGTGTTCCTCTGTTGGCTTTGCTTTTGCTTTTGGGATGAGGGGAACTGAAACATCTGCGGAGGGACAGGCCCCAGGAGAGCCGGTGAGGGTGACCAGGTGCAGGAGTGCAGACAGAGCAGGAGGAGGTGGACTGGCTGGGGAGGGGGGCAGCCGGGGAGGGGGTGGGAGGGGGCAGGTGGCGATGCACGAGAGATGGCAGTAACAAGGGGACGAGGGGCCCCTCTTCTCTGTGAAGTGGAGGAGGGCGGGTGGGACAGGGAGAAGACTGGTTATGGCAAGTGGGAAGGTTCTGGAATGGCAGGGGAGCCGAGGAGAAGACTGGAGCCGGGGTGCTGGCAGTGGGCCCCCAGCAATGCCCGAGGCATGGCAGTGGGCAGCAGGTGCGGGTCCAGAGAAAGGGGCGAGCTGGGCTCACGCAGGGCTGGGGGTTCAAAGCACCACCGTGGCATCGGTGTTGGCGGGGGAGGGGCGGGGGGGGACGGAAGGGGAGCGAGGAGGGCTGCGGCCAAGTGCAGGACAGGCCGGTGGCGCACAAGAGGAAGGGGAGCCGAGCTGGACCTCCAGACAGAGGCGAGGGCGAAGCCGTGAGCAGAGCTGCACAGGAGAGCCCAAGAGCCAGTGGGGCCGCTCCCCAGAGCCGACGCTACTCACACTCCAAGAGCTCGGGCCTGGACTTGGCTAAGAAGGTCTCCAGCACCTTGGCCTTGAGGACCGCCGCATTCAGCGGCGCGGTGGTGGCTTTGCCTACACCTGGGAGAGGACACAGAGAGCCGTTTTCAGCACAAACTCAGAGTGGACACCCCACACTACCCCCTGCCCACAATAACTCACTCTCCAGGCCAGCCTGCTTTAGTTCCAGTAACTCTTCCGGGACTCCAAAGGTGGGCATCTTGGTGGCTGAGGCAGAGGCAGAGGCAGGGGCTGGCGATAAGGAGGAGAAACATGAACTGGACCCATGACACAGTGACCAGATGGCCTGTCGTCCCTTCCACACTGATCGGCAAGCGCTACTTCTGCAAACACACCCCTGGACAGCCGGAAGGATACAGCTGAGTCCAGACAGGGCTACGCTCCTTATCCGTCTCACTCCATGCACTCGCGCTCACCCCCAACCTCAGGCCCGCCTGCCACGACAGAACCTAAGCACAGAACTCGGGCCCCATCACAGAACCCCGACCAGAGAGGCCAGGCTCTGCTGCCAGCATTTAGTTCCACACCTGGGCAATCTCAAGAAACAAACGGGGGCACAGATGCATAACTTACGAGGTTTCTTGGATCTCTTTTCTTCTTCTGAAAAAGAAAATTTTCAGAATTAAGATGAAGCACAGCATGATGACACTTTCAAAACACCATAATAGGGGCACCTGGGTGCCTTGGTTAAGCGTCTGCCCTCGGCTCAGGTCATGATCTCAGGGTCCTGGGACTGGGCTCCCTGCTCGGCGGGGAGACTGCTTCTCTGGCTCCCTCTGCCCCTCCCCCTGCTCATGCTCTTGCACTCTCTCACTCTCTCTCTCTCAAATAAATAAATAAAATCTTTCTTAAAAACCACCATAATAATAATTTGCATGAATGTGACCCATACAAATAAAGTGAGAATGTTGTCCCTGGAAACAAGCAAATGAATCTATGGTGACAGAAAACTGCATAGTGGTTTTGGGGGCTGGGACTGATAATGAGGAGCATGAAAGACTTTTCTGGGGTAATTCTTTAACTTGATTTGGTAACACATACACGCTTGTCAAAATTAATCTAACTGCACATTTAAGATCTGCACATTTTACTATAGGTAAATTTTCTCTCTATAAAAGAAAAAGTACAAAAAACAAAAAGGGAGTCAGCAAAAAACTGTGCTTGCTGAGTATCACAATAGTCTTTAAAAACTATCTGGAGTGTGTGCCTATGAAAACTGAGTTTACCTAAAGCAATGAGTCTCTAACCAGCAGCATCAGCATTGCTGGGGAATCTGTAGGAAATGCAAACTCTTGGATCCCACCCAAGACTCTGCTGACTCTGACAGTCCAGGGGTGGGGCCCAGCGACCTGTGTTTTATACACCCCTGGTGAGTCTGAAACATGCTCAAGTCTACGTGAGCTAGAAGATTTCGGGTTCCCTCTGCCACCTTCCCCACCACTGGAATGAAAAGGGGTGTTGTGGATCTTATCCCTGCCCGCAGACAAACGCTGCTCTCCTATCATCCTCTACTTCCCCACCAGCCCCCACTCAGCCCCACATGACCCCCTTGCTCCCCATTCCTCCCACTTCCGAGTCCTATGTCCAGACGCTGTCTTCACTCTGGCCCCATCTCCTCCTCACCTGCCCACTCACACAGGACCAGCCACTTGGGAGGACCCCAGGCTGTGCCGCCGGCCTAGGGCACGGGCCCCCTCCCTGGTCCTCACAGCCATTCTGAGTCTCATCTGCACTGTGACTGGTCCACTCCTTCCCACCATCTGCAGCTCACTCGGGCTAAGAGCCGCACTTGTGATCTGGGCCGGCGGTGAGGATGCTCTCGGGGAAGTGTGGTTGGAGGACAGGTGCATAGTGCTTGTTCACCAATTTTTCCCTTCCCTGGTCACACCAGGGGCCTTTCCACATCTGCCGGCTGGCTGGGGGCTCCCTGCTCCATCCACACCAGGCACCCCGGCTCCTGGCTCTCTACTCCATTTGGAGACCTAATACCACACATCTGTCTGCCAAAGACAGCCTAGACTCTAAAACCAAGCAACAATAGCATGGACCCAGAGTTCCCACATCCCCCAGGGGCAGCACTCCTCGGGGCACGCTGACTTTTCAGAGAAGTGATAACAGCCACAGGTCAGGGGCATATTTATGGGCTTTAAGGAGCTTCACAATGATCAGTGTCCCGTGGAAACCTCAGTCATAAGAATCCCATGAGGTCATCGTCGTTATGGTCCAAGTTTGACAGATGAGGAAACTGAGGACCATTCATCTCCCTGACCCCCACCCTCAACAGCATATGCCTTCTCACCGTGTGGGTGGTATGCCCCCCTCAAGGGGGCAAAAATGGATTCTTGGTGGAAGAGGGTGAAAAAAATCTTACTCTTTACATGTATGAAAGCATAATATATAGAGAGACATACTGCATATGTGTAGTATTAAAATTTCACAGGTGGGGGCAATTAGGAAAACACGGTCTTCAGTGGCTGGGGGGGGCGGGTAAGAGAAGGACAGTCATGGGAAGGAGGTCAGGAAGTGCTCGGACAGAAGCACAGGATGACTCAAGACGGAACAGCTCTGAGCCGCTCCTCCAGGGGGCGCTCTGCCCAAGTGCCAAAACTTGGGTGTCAGCAAGTATTTCTCAAGACAAGCGGGTGTTGGTAACCTTGCTGGCCCAGGCCGGCCGCACAAGCACAACCCGTGCTGAAGGGAAGGTCCTGCCAAGCACCCCAGGGGAGCCCTGCGGCAGCCCCTCCAGCCTCCACTCGGTGGCACTGTGGCCAGACTCGTCTGTAGAGGTACTTGCCCCCCTCCCCCCCAACCACGGCCATTTGGGACGGGCTGGCAAGAGCCCCAGGAACAGCAGCAAGGTTACTTACTCGGGAACTTTTTTGCAAAGTGTATGGGTTTGGGCGTAGATGCTGGGCCATGCTCTCCGGGGTTCCCTGTGCCAAAGAAGAAGGGGTTACTTTATGCAGCTTTTCCAAAGCAACCCCAGGGGCCAGCTTTGCCAGGGGCAGGCGGAGAGAGGGTCTACAAAGGTGATTTCCACGGACTTTCCCTACCCAATCCTTTACAGGAGCTAGAAACAAGGAGACAAAAAGACGAGTTTGGTGTGTCCCTCTTTTCTCTTAAAGTGTAGCCGGGGTCAATGTTTTCTCTGCCAGTGCCCCGCTCCATGACCTCTAAAGCCTCTCAGGTTCCGCTTCTTCCGGTGTCAACAGGAAGGGACGAGCCCTTTGCTTGTGGCGATGAGGCCAAGAGGCCTCGTTCCTCACCCTCCAGTTTTTCCATCACCCTTCCCCAGACCAGCAATCACTGATGTAGCAGGAAAACAAATATGCATGGCCAATTCGTCTACAGCTGTACCCTCTACACAGAGCATGCCACACCTGTTCCAGAGGCCCTTCTGCAAGGACACTCAGCTCGCCCAGCTGAGACTCAAGCCCCACCCCCAGGGTTACACGGTAAGATTCACTATGTGCCATGCTCTGTGCTAGGCACTGGGGAGAGTGTTGGATGAAAAACAGACCGAGCCCCTGCCCTCACAGAGACTGCAATCTAGTGGGGGAAGAACAAAATGACAGATACGCAAAGGCTCCCAAGGGATGATAAGGATCCTGGGACCTAGTCTGAGGAGTGGGAGTGGTGGTGACAGGGGAAGTTTGCTGAGAAATACAATGTTTCAACTGATCTCTGAAGGGTGAGAGGAGTGAACTGGTAAGGATGGTGGGGTCTGAGCCTTTTGGTCAGTGGGAAGGGCACATACAAAGGCCCTGTGGCAGGAAGCTTAGCATATGTGAGGAGCTGCATGCAGAAAGATGTGTGGGAGGAGGAGGCGCTTCAAGGCTGGTGAAACGGACAAGGCCTGACCAGGCAGGGGCTTGTAGAACAGTGGCAAGAGCGTGGTCTGAAATCTGAAAGCCATGGAAATTCTCTGAACAGGGTGAGGGAAGAAGGTCCCAGGAGATCAGATTCACACCCTGAAAAGCTCTCTCTGGCTGCAGCAGGAGTGGATGCAGAAGGACTAGCTAGAAAGCTGCCACAGGTGGGGGCAACAGAAAGCAGGCAGGTGATGGCTGGCGGGGGGGCGGTGGACTGAGTCAGGAGAAATTTAAGAACTAAAATCTGGTCATGGATTGGATACAGGGGGGAAGGAAAGAGGGTGTCAGAGAAGAATGCCAGGTTTCTCTGACCCCAAAACTAGCCATTCCCCACCAACTACACTGATAATTTGGTGGGGAGTCTATTCAGAAGCCACCTGAGCCAGCCTCAAGATCACACACAAGAACAGCCTGTCCAGAAAGTCCCGTCGTTAGCATCAAGGTGCCCAGAAATGTTTTCGGAAGGATGGCTACGACTCAGGAGGTTTCCCCGTGACCTCCCAGATGGAGGGCAGATATGCCTGGACCCCTGCAACTCAAGCCCCAGTGTTCTGGATCAAGACCCTACCCCCACCCCCAATGGGGGGACCCCTCCCATTTTAGGGGTCCCAGTAGGGGAGCTCGGGGTTTGCTAATGGCTACCTGAGCCGGTGGGTTCCTCGGGCTTCTTGTCCTGGGCCTGCCTGATATACCGCTTCAGCTCGTCTTTGAGGCCCGAGGTGCCCTGAGAGACACTCTTGATCAGCTCCTGATTCAGCTCCACCTTGGGGACGTAGACTGGCTTTGTGGAGACACCTTGCAGTTTTATCCCTTTCTGAAACAAGCCAGAGTGTTAGTTCAGGCAGCTCCAAGGAAGCCAGGGCCCGGGCTCAGGCCTCATGAACCCCAGGAGGAGCTTCCCTGTGCTCACGGATGCTCAGTCCGATCACAGGCCAGAGATTGCTGGGAGCTAACGTGCACTTTCGGTCACAGCTCTCTGGATCTGGAAGGGCCCTCAGAGGCCACTCACCTACCAAGGGAGAAACTGAAGTCAAGAAATAACACGTGAGAAGGAAGGGAAAGGGAAAGGGAAAGGGAAAGGGAAAGGGAAAGGGAAAGGGAAAGGAAAGGAAAGGAAAAAGGGGAGGGGAGGGGGAGGGGAGGGGAGGGGAAAAAGGAAAGGAAAGGAAAGGAAGCAAAGAAAGAAAAGAAAGAAGGGGCACCTAGGTGGCTCAGTCGTTAAGCGTCTGCCTTCGGCTCAGGTCATGATCCCAGGGTCCTGGGATTGAGCCACGCATCGGGCTCCCTGCTCGGCAGGAAACCTGCTTCTCCCTCTCCCTCTCCCTGAGCTTGTGTTCCTTCTCTCGCTATCTCTGTCAAATAAATAAATAAAATCTTTAAAAAAAAAAAAAGAAAGAAAGAAAGAAAAGAAAAAGGAAACAACAAGCATCCTGCCAGGAACTCTGCCAACCAGTGGCAAGGACAAAGTTGGGACACAAATCTCCTGACCCCCGTGGATAATGCTCTTCTACTCCTCCCCCTGTGACTGGCCAAGCACAGGAAACCCAGGACCATCTCCAGCCCTCCAGGAACAGCTCTGAACACACGTTCGAAAACTGGACAGGGATGCCTCAAGGCACAAAGGGTTCAGCCAGGGCACATCCAGTGAAAAGGAAGAAACTGACAGAGGGTCCCACACTTTGAGATAAAATCGGGTCATACAGCATCAAGAGGCCCCAGCTAAGGACTCAGAATCCTTCTCAGAAAACTCTAGGCAGCGGGCGCCTGGGTGGCCCATTCAGTTAAGCGTCTGCCTTCGGCTCAGGTCATGATCCCAGGGTCCTGGGATCGAGCCCCGCATCAGGCTCCCTGCTCCGTGGGAAGCCTGATTCTCCCTCTGCCCCTCCCCCCACTCATGTGCACGCTCTCTCTCCCTCTCTCGCAAAAATAAATAAAAATACTTTAAAAAAAAAAAAAAGAAAGAAAGCTCTAGGCAGTCACTCCAACAAACAGGAAGGAACACTGAGATGAAAGTCAGGGGTGCCCAGCCCAGGCATGGAAAGAAGTCCATTCAGGGAGAAGAGAAGGTTCCCAGTCACTCCTGTACTCTCCCCAGGACCTACACAAGGAACCTGGTCCTCTGAGCTGTCGTCGCCCCATCGATGGGGCTCACGGGAACACGGGCTGCATGCCAGGAGAAGGGAGAGGTAATAAGGGAGCGGGCGGCCTGAACACAGCCAACAACAAGCGCATGTAAAACGGCGCCACTGGGTGCGACAGCAGAGGACATGTGAGCTCCTCAATCACCAGTAATGGCAGAATAACGGGATCTGAGGAAGATGGGGGGAAGCTAGAGTGAGCCTGGAGAAAGGAGAAGATTTACCAGGCAGAGCAGGTCAGCCACGGTGTTCCCATCCAATGCCCAGGGTGTCTGGGGAATGGTGAGTGCTCTGCTGTGGTTACAGCACGGGGCATGGGCAGGGCGTGGGTGGCAAGAGAGGAGGGTGCTGGCAAAGACAGGGCCTGGTCACCCAGGGCCTTCAGAGAGACACTTCCAGGGTCCATGGGGAGGAGGGATGGAAGGAAGGGGGTGGAGGCGTTTGCAGTAGGCAACATTCTAAGATGGCCCCCAGGATGCCCACCTGGCCCAGGGGTACACACCCTGTATAATCTCCTCCCCCTGAGTATGGGCAGGACAGTGAATGTGCTAGGATAGCACTCCTGTGATTCAGTTGCCTTATATGGAAAAACTGAAGGAATATTGCAGATGTAATGAAGATCTCAAATCTGTTGGTTTTGAGTTCATCAGGAAGGTGAGTATCCTGGTGGGCCTGACTTAACCAGATAGGAGCCATTAAAAGGGACCAGGCTTATAAGAAAGAATGAAATCTTGCCATCTGCAACATGGACGGATCTGGAGAGTAGAATGCTAAGTGAAATAAGTCAGTCAGAGAAACACAAATACCACATGATTTCACACATTTGTGGCAATTTAACAAACAAAACAAACGAGCAAAGGGGAAAAAGAGAGAGAGAGAGCCAAGCAGACTCTAGAGAACAAACTGGTGGTTACCAGAGGGGCGGGGCGTGGTGGGATGGGGGAACTAGGTGATGGGGATTAAGACCACACTTATCATGATGAACACTGAGTAAGGTACAGAATTGTTGAATCTGGTGTACATGGGGAAACTAATATAACAATGTATGTTAACTAGATACTGGAATTAAAATGTTAAAAAAAAAAAGAGGGGTGCCTGGCTGGCTCAGTTGGTAGAGCATGTGACTCTTGATATTGGGGTCATGAGTTCAAGCCCCATGTTGGGCATGGAGCCTACTTAATTAAAATTTTCAAAAAAGGAGAGAGAGACCAATAATCTAAGTAATCTAAGCAGAAAAAAAAAGGGACCAGGCTTTCCTGGAGGGAGAAATTCTCCACTGGCTTTGAAGAAGTACCTGGCAAGCCGAGAGAGGGCCACATGCCAAGGAACTGCAGCAGCTTCTGGGAACCGAGAGCAGACCTCAGCCGACAGCCAGCGAGAAAGGGGGCCCTCGGGCTGCACCACGGGAACTGAAGTCCGCCAACAACCACAGGAGCTTGGAAGACAAGCCGCGGCTCATCCTCAGCCGGCAAGCCCCTAAGCCATGCCCGACCCCTGAGCCATGGAAAGTGTGAGATAGCAAATAAATGCTCTTCCAAACCAGTAGGTTTGTGGTTAAGTTGTCCCAGGGCACAGAAAACGGACATAGCGAGTGTCTCGGGGCAGCTCCCAGGGACCTCGTACAGCCCCGTCTCCCGGTGGCCTCACTGCACGAGTCGTCAACAGCATGTGGGCAGACAGAAAGTGCATTCGACCATGTCTTCGTCGAGACCTACCTCCAGAAACTCAAACTCGTCCCCCTTGGTCAGGGCAAGTTCAACTTCCTCCTTCAGAGCCTGGATCTCACTCTTCTTCTTGAGAAGGATCTGGTAAATGTTGTCAAACTTGGTATTGACCCTCTTCTCCTCTTCCTTTATCTTCCGTGTGGAGGTGGCCTCTGCGGCATCAATGAGCACCTTGATTTCCATGTATTCCTGTCTAAGCTGCTCCATCTTCCGATTTGTAGCCTCCTAACAGGGCCAAGACACAGGGGCATCTGTCAGAGAGGCAAGAAAGTTAAGGCTGTGGTACCAAGTGCTGGTGAGATGTGGAGCACCAGACTCTTACCTGTACTTCGCGGTGGGAAAAATGGGCACAACTGCTTTGGATGGGAATTTGGCAAAGTCTAGTGAATCTCAAGGTGCTCCTACCCAATCCGGGGAACATCCTCTAGAAAAACACTCAAGATACCTGCCCCAGAGATAGACACAAGAATGCTCCTAAGCAGCATTGTTTGAATTAGCAACCGAATGTCTATCAGTAAGACACAAATCTGCAAATTATTCATAGGATAGAATATTAAATAGTAATGAAAATTAATGAACTGGGGCAACGCATGGACAAATTTCCCCAAGGGGAAAAAACAACGTGCAGAAGAAGACATAGGGCGTGATGCTCTTTATATAAAGCTTAGGAACAAAGAGAATGGCTTCCTCTCGGTAAGAGAACACCCCTGGAGTTTGCCAGGGCACATGGCCGCCCCAGCACAGGCTACCTCCCCAGCCACCCCTGCAGCTAGACTTGGCCACGGGACTAAGGTGCTCCCGATGCAGCATGAGCAGAGCGTTCATCTTCCCCGTCCCCTCTTCTGCAGGCTAGAACAAAGACGTCATGGCAACCCAGCTTCAACCAGAGGTGAGAAACCACCTGCAGTAGTCGGGTAATAAGAAAAGTCTCCGAATCCTGAATGATCACGTGGAGCAGAGACACCCCACTAGTCTGGGCAGCTCGTATCTGGCACTGAACTGCCAAAGGGAGCAAAAGAAACTTCTATTTTATTTAAGCCTCTGAATTTGGCGGGGCAGGAGGTGCGGAGGTGGGGGGGTAATCTCTGTTAGCAGTTTAGCCCGCCCCCTCCAACCAGTACATGTACATTCCCGTAGGTGCCCTCATCTAAGCCGCACAGCCACCGTCGGGAAAACGTTGTGACTCCGTTGTGCAGCTGGGAAAACCGAGGCTCAGAGATCTGCCCACAGGAGGCAATTATCACAGGCTATTATGTAACAGAGCTGGTATTCTCAGAACTCGTCTAATTACACCACAGATACCACAATAAAACCAGACCCTACAGCTCGAGAGCAGGATATTTAAAACTCAAATCTTCTTTCATTTTTTTTTTTAAAGATTTTATTTATTTATTTGAGAGAGAGACAGAATGAGAGACAGAGAGCATGAGAGGGAGGAGGGTCAGAGGGAGAAGCAGACTCCCCGCTGAGCAGGGAGCCCGATGTGGGACTCGATCCCGGGACTCCAGGATCATGACCTGAGCCGAAGGCAGTCGCTTAACCAACTGAGCCACCCAGGCGCCCTCAAATCTTCTTTCAATATAAAAATCTTCTTTCAGTATATTCCTTTAGGGGCGCCCAGCTGGCTCAGTCAGAAGAGCATGCAACTCTTGATCTTGGGGTCATGAGTTCGAGGCCCACGTGGGGTATAGAGATTACTTAAATAAATAAACTTAAAATATATATACATTCTTTTATTTATAATATCAAAAACCTTATAAAACTTATAAAAACTAGACCCCCAAAAAATCTCTAATTCTACCACTCCAATGCTTGTACTACTATCCTGTTACTATACTTCCAATCTTTTTCAGTCTTTTTTCCTACACTTTCTGTAATGGGCTGAATGATGCCTTCCCTCCGCCCAAAGATATGTCCAGATTCCAGAACCTGCGAAGGTTGCATTACTTAGCAAAAGTCTTTGCAGATGGGGCGCCTGGGTGGCTCAGTCGTTAAGCGTCTGCCTTCGGCTCAGGTCAAGACCCTGGGGTCCTGGAATTGAGCCCCACATCAGGCTCCCTGCTCAGCGGGAAGCCTGCTTCTCCCTCTTACACTCCCCCTGCTTGTGTTCCCTCTCTCACTGTCTCTCTCTTTAAAAAAAATAAATAAAATCTTTAAAAAAAAAAAAAAAACCCTTTGCAGATGTAATTAAGGTAGGAATCTTGAGATGAAGTTAACCTGGATTACCCACGTGGGCCCTAAATCCAATGACAAATGTCCTTATTAAGGACAGAAGAAAAGACAGAGAGGCTGTGAAGACAGAGGCCGGGGCTAGAGTGACACCAGCCACAAGCCTAGGAACACCTGAGCCACCGGAAGCTGGAAGAGGCAAGGAAGGATTCTTCCCTAGAACCAGGAAGTGTGGCCCTGTCTTTGATTCTGAACTTCTGGCCTCCAGAACTGTGAGCGAACACACTTCTGTCCCAGTAAGCTGAGTTGGTGGTGACTGGTTACGACAGCCCTAGAAAACTAACACACTTGCTTTTTATAAATAGATGAACTCTAGTGTGTATACACTTCTGCCTCCTGTTTTTCTCCCATTTAAATCATAACCACTTTTTATGTCAGTACTTTTTTTTTCACGATCTTTTTTTTTTCAAGTAAGCTCTACGCCCAACGTGGAGCTCGAACTCACAACCCCAAGATCAAGAGTCACATGCTCTACCAACTGAGCCAGCCAGGCGCCCCTCTATTACTACTTTATAGCCCTAATTTTTAATGATTGCCCCTGTCCTCCCCACACCAAGGTCAGGGCTTATGGATTGTCCTCAGTTTACGTCTACAAAGGATCTTTCCTGGGGACATAGCTTTCTGGATGTCTTGCAAGGTGGATGTCTATTCCCGACACCGTGCGTGAAGCCAACAGGAGCCCAGGGTCGAGCTGGCGGTGGAGAGCCTGGTCACTCACCCGCACATCCTGCTGCCTGGCTCTCACGTCCTCAAGCGCCCTCGAGGCACCGTTGACCTGGCTGTAGATGACAGTCAGCTTATGCTTCAGCTTGGTCTGCAGAGGAAACAACCAGCATGAGAACTCACCTCAGCCCAGCCCCCAACACCAGGGACTGGCCCTGGAATCTATCCCATAGGTGCTTCTGCCACCCCGAGTCTTGCCTGCCTGTAGCTTTTTGAAGCATTCGCCTATTTATTGCCTCCCTTCAAACTTCTAGAGCAACCATACAAGAAAGAAGTTACGAGCATAGGATTTGGAGACAGACCAACTAGGGTACCAGCCCCTGTTCCCAGCTGTCCGAGCACCTGTCACCTGTGTCCTCGGCCAAGAAAGAGATACAGATGTTCCCACCTCCCAGGGCCAGTAGCAACATGAGAAGTCAGCACAGTGCCTGGATTTTAGTAAGGACAAACCAAAGGTCAGCTTGTAGGATTAGGAGCTTCTTCATTAGCCCCCATTTTACAGACAATGAAACAGAGGCCAGGCGGCCAGCAAGGGGGCCGAGGACGAGCTGGAGGGGTTGCTTCAGTGATGGCAAATGAGGTCGTTCCGAGTCAGCCCTCCCCCTGCAAACAACCACACAAGCAAACTGCTGGGAAGAAGAATCTGCTTCACGACAATGGAGAGCTAACTAAGCAGGGAAGGATGACAGCCAAGATCTGGGAGAAGGCAATCCAGAGAGGTAAGCCTGGCCTCTGGGGTTGCTCTCCCAGAACCATCTGCCGATTCCAGAAGACAGCTGGAAGAGTCACTGTCAACCTCGGGGAAGTAGGGGGACAAGAGAGTCCAAGGCTCCTTTGGCCCCACGGGTGGGGACCTCCACAGGCTACACGCTAGGAATAAGGATGAACAAGCGGTAGCCCAGCCCCCCAACAGCTCAATCCCTGAAACTGAATTAAAGTGACTCAGAATTGCTAAGTCCCTAGCAACCTCCAGGAACCAAGGCCAATTACGCACGAAGGAAGATAATACCATCCGAGGCCTCTTAGCATTTCTATAAATTTTCAGAATCAATATCGGGAGTGTCCTCCCTCCCTGCTCAGGTGAAATGCTGGGCCACAGAAATGGGGAGGGAAAAAAAACCCAGCACCAGAATAATAGCAGTTAGTGTTTCTTATATATGCACTGCAAGCCAGGCTTCACAGGTGTTAACTTACTTAAAGCGAAGAACAACACTATATAAGGTGGGAGTTACCTGTCCTTTATAAATAAGGACATCGAAGAACAGTCACATCACTGTTAACTGGTGTTACAAGGTCCCGGTGTTGGGCGCCTGGGTGGCTCAGTCGTTAAGCGTCTGCCTTCGGCTCAAGTCATGGTCCCAGGGTCCTGGGATCGAGTCCCACATCGGGCTCCCTGCTCCACGGGAAGCCTGCTTCTCCCTCTCCCACTCCCCCTGCTTCTGTTCCTGCTCTCGCTATCTCTCTCTCTGTCAAATAAATAAATAAAATATTAAAAAAAAAAAAAAACAAGGTCCCGGTGTTATAATTAAAGCACTGAGTACACAGGAAATGTCTAGGAAAAAACATTTACTTCCCCTAACGAGCTGGCTCAACACCCTCCAGCCTGCCCCCTCCACTTCCCTGCCTCTCCCACTCCACTAGAGATATCAGGTCTAAACTTGACCTTGAACCTGAATTTGAACAACCCAGTGACAGTCACATATAAGGGAATGGAAGCAGAGATCAAGGTCACACTAGCTTGACCCTGAAACCCCAAGTTACTGGTGATGTTTCATATTCAACCTCTGCGACAATGCCCTTCAACCTGGCCTCTTAAAAGTGGCCAAGATAAACTGTGGGCCAAAGGCAGAAGGCCAGGCCAAGGCAGATCTGGACTCACAGGCCTCAGAGCTGGAAGAGAACTCAGAACACCCGGGCACTGGGTTCCACCTCCAACAGCCACGCTCAGCAGTGCACCCCAAAACTCTGTGTTTTGGAAAGTTTTATCCACCATTAATGAAATGTATATATGACAGTCCCCTGACAGCAGAGAGAGGGGCCTATGTGGCTCCAGACAAAGGAAAGTGGCCCAGGGACTTCAAGAGAGGCAACAATCCCCTCATTGAGGGTAGAGAACTTTTTGAAGTTCTGAGGATCTGTTCACAGATTGGGGACTTGAGTCCTCCATGAGGACGTGGGAGGCACCGGAGTCCCGAGTCCACCCCGCACCACTGGCCAAGACAAGGCAGCCACCCAAGGCCGGGGCACTGCCCAGATACAGCTGGCTCTGTCCCAGTAGCGAGGGGCAGCGGGGCTAGAAAGGGAGGCTGATCGAAGGACTTGGCAAGCCAGGACAATGGTGGGGACCAGGGAGGTGGCAAGGTCAGGCCTGTTACAAGGATTACAAAGCCCAGCGTGTACAACAAACAAGTACGCTGGGTGCAGACTCCAGCTCCAGGCCCCAGGCTGGGAGCCAGGTGTAGCTCCAGGCCAGACTGAGAAGAACTCTCCGGCCCCTACTTGCCTTCTGCCTCCATGGATAAGAACTTCTAGAAGAGCCTTTTGACGGGAGCCAGCCGCCCGGTCCTCAGGGACAGGCCCAAGCACCCCGAGGCAAAGAAGACACCTCCGCCCCAGCAAGCTCTCTCCTACCCCAGCTGCTCAGAAATTACACCTGCAGTGCTTAGCACTCACCCAGCGAGGAAGCAGAGTCAGAATTCAAACCTAGGTCTCAACACCCAGGCCGAGGTCAGAGCCAACCAGCCATCTGACGCAGGGACCTGCCTATGAAGCACTTCCCACCTCATCCAAGCTCATCGCCCCGGAGCCTCCTGACCACCCTTGCAGATCAGGAGGAAATGCTATGAATCCCATTTTACAGATGAGGCAGCTGAGGCTTGGCGAACTGCAGTGACTTGGCATAAACCACAGCTGACACGGAGCCATGTTCTGGCCCGAAAGGCTTGGCAGGTTCTTTAGGGAGGCAAGTGGAGACGCAGGTGGCCGCGCCTGACATGGTTGTGCCTCAGGGGTCAACTCTCAGACACTGCCTTGAGGTCTGGCCTCTGAGACTCAGGGAAGAAGTCCTGAGGGACCCAGCTCAGATGGAGAAGCAGACGGGGCCCGGGAAGGGCTATGGCTGCTCAGGAGCAAGGCCTGCCCCCTGGCCCTGGTGCTGCCGTAAACCTCAGCCAGGCCTCCTATCTCCTCCGACGACAGAACAGTCCTTGCTCTCCACGACAGGGCCTCGAGAATTAAAGGCAATCTGGCCACACTCTGGAGCTCAGGCTGATATAAAAAAGGTGGTCCCACTACACCTTTTCGGCCTCTGCCTTGAGTCCGCGAGGGAAGTTATGATCCCCCAAACCACTAACATCATCAGAGACCTGGAAGGCCCCTTAGGGAGCCACCTGGTCCCACCGCCTCGATTTACTGATGAAGACTCGGGCCCCGGGGCCAAATGCTGTGCTCGAAGTCGCACAGCCAGGGCGGAAGTCACTATGGTGCAAGACTTTGGTTCTGCCTGCGGGTAGTAGCCAGACGTATCTGGCACTCTGCCCACCCTTCTGCTCATAACAATCCTCCCTGGTCACTAGAACTCTCTGGCTCACCAAAAGTTTTTGCTCACATGACCTCAAGCCTCCTGGAATGTCCCATGCTCCATGAACTCGGATATCAGGCTGGTCATGGGGAAAAGCAGCAAACTGTAGAGTCGAACCAGCCGGGGTCCCAATGCCTGCTTAACCACCTACTGGGTTAGCTGAGGCTAAATTAACTTCTCTGGACCTCCATTTCCTCAACTGTAAAATGGACCTAATTATATCCACCTCTTGGATGCTGCCCAGATTTAATGAGGGAACAGAGGTAACCTCCAGGGCTCCTATCTGACGCCGAAAACCCTCGACTAAACACCATCAGACAAGTACGAGGCTCAAGGCAGGCAACTTCGTCTGTTCAGTGGGGGAAGAGGGTGGACCACGGATGACAGAGGAGGGCTAGATGTTCTCCTCGCCCCTTTCTATTCGGACATCGGGGACGCCCCTGCCCCGGCTCTCAGGCCCAGCAAGGCCCACCCTCCTACCCCAGGTGGTCCGCGGTGGGCCACGATGCCCACGGCGGCTCCCTCCGCACCCCCCAGCCCAGACTGCCTCCCAGTGCCCGTGCCCTCGCCCGCCACCACCTACCTCCAGGTCGGCGCTGGCCTGGCTCAGGGACGCAGGCGAGCAGGCCTTGTGCTCCACCAGGCAGATGTGGCAGATGCACTCGTCATGCTGGGGGCAGAAAAATTCCCGCAGCCGGTTGTGCTGGGGGCACTTGCGGCGCATCAGGTCCCGGACGGGGGACTGCAGCTGGTGGTCCCGGAAGGCGGGGCTGTCGAAGTGCGGCTGCAGGTGCTCCTGGCAGAAGGAGGCCATGCACACCAGGCACGTCTTGACGGCGGGCTCCTTCAGGCAGTGGTCGCAGGCCACCGGGCCCGCCGGGCTGGGCGCGGCGGCGCGGGCGGGCGGCTTCCAGCCGTCGGGGGGCGGGGGCGCCGCCCGGGCCTGCTCGGCCTGCAGGAACTGCTCCACCACCGCGCACAGCACCGTGTTCTTGCGCAGCTGCGGCCGCGCGTGGTAGCCGGCGCGGCACTGCGGGCACAGATACGGCGGGCCCTGGACGGCCCACGTCTCGTCCAGGCACGAGCCGCAGAAGTTGTGGCCGCACGGGGTGGTGACCGGCACCTTGAAGGGCTCCAGGCAGATGGAGCACGACAGCTCCTCGGCCAGGGGGACCAGCTCCGCCATGGCGCTCCTGCGGGACGGGAAGGGACGCGCTGGGACGGCGGCCGCGGAAGACCAACGACCGCGCGAGGCCCGCGAGGAAACGAAACTGAGCGGCGGGCGGGGCGGGCCCCGCGGCCCTGCAGGAAGTCACGTGGGGCGGGGCGGGGCGGGCCGGGCCGCCGGGGGGTCCCGGGGCGCGGGGCGTCGGGGCGCGCGCGGAGCGGCTCGGCCCCGCCGGGTGGGCGCGGGCGCCGGCCTCGGGCCTCAGTTTGTGCCCCCAGGCCGCAGCGGTTTCTGCTCCCCCCCCCCCCCCCCCCCCGGCCCGGGCGGAGGAGGAAACCTGCGCGGCAGGTGGAGAACCCCGGCCCGGTGGCGCTTCTGCCCCGGCGCGCCCAGTGCCTTCCTGCGGAGAACCCACCCAGACCCGCGCGGCGCGGTGCGCGCCCGCCGGCGAGGCTGTCGATCCGCGCTGGCCTTAAAGACCAGCCGCCCCCTTTTTAGACCCTTCCCTCCTCCCCTCCTGGCTGGGCTCTGGCACATCGGGGTATGGTCCTTGAAGGCCGGAGCCCCTGGGCCCACACTCAGAAAGCTCGCCGTTTCTTTCCATACCAACCAATAGAACACGCAGTTTTGTTCTGTTTTTTTCCAGTTCTACTTTACTGGGGTTTGCAGATATCCCAGTCTTAACAAAGGTTTTCTCTCACTCACACACAATAATTTTGAAACAAATGTTTTTCTCAAAATCGTTTATTTAGATTTATTTCCTTTCATTCGTTCAGCTCTGTTCCCCTGGCCTGGGTGCGGGGAAAGTGGGTGTACAGGAGGGGGAGAAGTCATTCAAGAGAGGGGGTGGGGGACAGAAAAGAGAGGTAGGGTTTTGGGAAGAGTTAGCCAGAGTTTGCACTGGACAGGGTGAGCAGCAAAAATAAGAAAAAAAAAAGAAATGTCTTAAACTGCTAAAAGTAAAAGCTACCGTTTATGGGGCACCTACTCTGTGCAAGACAAGTCACATACCTTATCTCTTATCCTTACAAAGGCTAGAAGACAGAATTTATAACGTCCATTTTACAGATGAGGATCACATGTTTTGTTTTGTTTTGAAGATTTTATTTATTTATTTGAGAGAGAGAGAATGAGAGACAGATAGCAAGAGAGGGAAGAGGGTCAGAGGGAGAAGCAGACCCCCCCCCCCCCGCTCAGCAGACCCCCACCCCCACCCCCACCCCCCGCTGAGCAGGGAGCCCGATGTGGGACTGGATCCCAGGACTCCAGGATCATGACCCCAGCCGAAGGCAGTCGCTTAACCGACTGAGCCGCCCAGGTGCCCCACATATTTTGTTTTTTTAAGTAATCTCCCTGCCCAAGGTGGGGCTCAAACTCAGGACCAACAGTCTGCTGCTCAAGGACTGAGCCAGCCAGGCACACTCCCCTCACCACTTTTTTTTTTTTTTTTAAGTAATTTCTCCACCCAAGGTGGGGCCCAGAATACGGTCACATATTTCATACAAAACAAAACTGAGATTCTAACTCAGGATTGCTTTGCTTAAAATTCTGATTCCTGGGTTTCCTTTCTGTTCCTCCAAGACTCTTAACCCCATTTGTTCTCTTTTGTATTACGTTGTTGTTATTGTTTGCTTGGTGAGGAGGAAGGCAGAAGGCAAGGAGGGGTTAGGAAATCAGATTTGTACATAGTATCTCATTTAATCCTCACACTACATCTTTAAGGTAGGTATCATTATCTCATGCTACAGATGAGAAAACCAAGGCTTAGAGAAACGAAATAACTTGCCTACGATAACAGATCCTGGCATGTAGCCCATCCCATTCTAGAAGCCAAACATTTCCTACTAGAAGATGTTGCCTCCCAAGGGGAGGGATGGAGCCGTTTCCAGGAATTAAACTATGAAACACCCTATGACTTAGCTCTTGTGGGTGAGGCGGCCTGGTGACTCAGCCAGAGTATCTGTAGAATTTTCTGAGAGTTTAGAAAGGCTAGTGAATGAAGAGGACTCAGGGGAACATAGTTTATGTTTATCAAATTCCGTGCAGTAGATATTTACTAAGACCTACTGAGACAGGGAAGCTCAAGAAAGGCCCCATTTACTCACGCTGTATAATTCACCTTGCATCTAGGTAAACCCAGAGAAGCTCCTTTCCCACTCCAAGGGGGAAGCAAGGAAGTGAATTGCTCTCTGAGTCTCGTCCTGGCCCCAGAACACCTGAGAACATCTAAGAAAAACGGGATCCCAACCACGTTCCAGGACATTAGCTTCGAACAAACCTCGGCCCACACTGGCATGGATACCCCTACCTTCGGTGATTTATGGAAGAACACCTGTTGTTCAGCTGACACTCCGTGTGATTGATCCCTACCCTGGACTCCTGGAGGAACACAAACCCTGGACCCCTTTCCTAGCCCGAAGTGATGGGGAGACTCACTTTTCCTTTTCAGAGTCTCCCAGACACTCCATCTTCTAGACCCTATCACTACTCTGTAAACCCTGTGTTCTCTTCCTCCTGGCTCACGTTTGATTCCTATCCTGCCTGAAGCCAAGGGCCCTCCTGACTGGTCCTGTGAGGCCCCCCTGCGGGTCCTCAGACCAGGCCTGCCTACTCACTACTATGGTAAATTCATCCCATTGTGGTTAGAGAATAGGCTTTGGATTATTTCAATCTTTTAAAATTTAATGAAACTTGTTTTGTTTTTGTTTTGGGGGTTTTTTTTTGAAGATTTATTTATTTATTTGACACAGAAAGAGAGAGATCACAAGTAGGCAGGCAGGCAGGCAGGCAGAGGGAGAGGGAGAAGCAGGCTCCCTGCTGAGCACAGAACCCAATTTGGGGCTGGATCCTAGGACGCTGGGATCATGAGCTGAGCCGAAGGCAGATGCTTAACCGACTGAGCCACCCAGGCGCCCCTGAAACTTGTTTTATTTCCCGAATGTGGTCTTATTGTGGGTTACTGTTCACATGGTATCTCTTCTTCTGTCTTTGTACTTTCAACCTGTTTGGGTCTGAATCTAAAGTATGGCTTTTGTAGACAGCATATAGTCAGATCCTGTTTCTTGTAATGCATCCTGCCAACCTGACTTTTCATTGGAGTATTTAACTCATTTACATTAAATTAATGATAAGGTAGGATTTACATCTGCCATTTGCTATTTATTTTTATGTCATATCTTTTTTGTTCTTCTGTTTCTCCATTACTGCCTTCCTTTGTGCTAAATATTTTCTAGTGTACTATTTTTATTGCTTTGTTATTTCTTCAAATATTCTTTGTGCCCTCCCTCTCTCCCCTCTCCTCCAGGAACTCCCATTCTGTGTATGTTGTTTGCTTGTTGGTGTCCCACAGGTCTCTGAGGCTCTGTTCATTTTCCTTGATTTTTTTTCCCTTTCTGTTTCGCAGACTGGATCATCTCACTTGATCTGTATATCCAGATTCACAGATTCTTTCTTCCGCCTGCTCAAATCTGCTATTGAACTCCTCCGGTGAATTTTTCATTTCATTCTTTTGCTTTTCAACTCCAGAATTTCCATTTGGTTCTTTTAAAAAAAAAAAAATTGGGGGGCGGAATCACCTGTTACAGCTGGGTTAAGTATCCAACTCATGGTTTCGGCTCAGGTCGTGATCTCAGGGTCGTGAGAATGAGCCCCACATCAGGCTCCAAGTCAGTGCAGAATGTGCTTAAGACCGTCTCTCCCTCTCCCTCTGCCCCTCCCCACCGCTCTCTCTCTCTCTCTCAAATAAACAATCTTTAAAAAAAATAAAAAATAAGTTTTTTTCTATCTCCTTACTGTATCTCTATTGAGAGAGATATCATTTTCATACTTTTCTGTATTTCTTTAGACATGTTTTCCTAATGTTCTTTGAATATATTTAAAATAGCTGATTTAAAGCTTTTGTCTAGTAAGTCCAACATCTGCACTTCCTCAGAGACAATATCTATTGATCCTTCTTTTCTTATATGGGCCATTCTTGTTTCTTTGTATTGTGATTTTTTTTTTTTCAAAACTGGACATTTAAAATAATGCAGTATGGCACTGTGGACACTGGATTCCCCCCTGCCCAGGATTTGTTGTTATAGATGTTTGTTGCTGTTTTTCTTTAGTGACTTTCCTGAATGAATTCCATAAAGTCTATATACTGAGTCTCTGTTCAGTTGGCTTAGTGATCACCTAATGACTGGACAGAGATTTCCTTAAATCCCTAGAACCAATAAGTTTTCCAGTATTTTCCAAGGGCTCAGACTGGTTTGTAGCCCGTTGGTTTTTAAAACTACCATGGAGGGGCGCCTGGGTGGCTCAGTTGGTTAAGCGACTGCCTTCGGCTCAGGTCATGATCCTGGAGTCCCGGGATCGAGTTCCGCATCGGGCTCCCTGTTCAGCAGGGAGTCTGCTTCTCCCTCTGACCCTCCCCCTCTCATGTGTTCTCTCTCTCTCTCTAAAAATAAATAAATAAAATCTTTAAAAAAAAAAAAAAAGTAAAACTACCATGGAACTGGGGGTGGGGGTAATGGGAATAGAGCAAGTTAAAACACCCAAACCTTGCTGTCCTCACCGGGATTAAGCCACTTTTCTTAAATAGGCATTCCCTGAATTGTTGCAAGCTCTTCACTAATTTCCAGAGTTCTGAAAAAGTTGATCCTGACAATTTTTGTTAGTTTTCTTCTATGGAAGCAGAATTTTCAGAGGTCCTTCACAATATAATGATTTATAAGAAATATCTATTTGGCCATTTGAATGACCAAAATATATGTCTCAGATATATTTGGTCTTCACCCACAGTTCCCAAAAACACCTCAGAGCCATAAAGGTGAAATGGGTGGCTTGTTATTAATGAAAGGGACTTTTGGATCACACCCAAGATGGGGGATGGTTGCCAAGAGAACCAAATGATTAGAGGGTTCGAAATTTTAGTCCTCCCTGTCCCCAACTCCAGAGAGGAGAGAAGCCTAGAGGTTGAATCAGCCAATGGCCAATGACCTAGTCACTCATGACTGTGTAATGAAGCTCCCATAAAAATCCAAGAGAACAGCTTTTTGGTCCTTTCCAAAGAGCCTCCATGCTCAGGGAAACAACACTTTCACGTATCACTGAGCCAGGCCCCA